TTTACTATCTACTTCACTTGCTTTGGCAATGTTAACACACGTTTCCCATGCCAATAAAGCCCTTAAATTGAATTGAATTGAATTGAAAGAGAGAGAAAGAGAAAGAGGGCAGAAAGTGAATGCAAATCTGGGCAAATGGGAAAAGAGAAGTGAAGAGCAAGAGACAGCTGGAATTGAGAGAGAGAGAGAGAGAGAGAGAGAAAAAAAAAAATAGAGAAGAAGACGCAGATGGTCAGTCTGGCACTTGGCTGCAGCAGGCCGTCTCCTGTCTGCTCCTTGCGGGCTGGCCAATGGGCGGCAGAATGGAGGGGGCACGGGCCTGGGCAGTGCCAGTGCTGTCGGGCAGTGCCAACAGGCTTTGAGAGGGGCCAAGCTGTCACAGAGGAGCCCTGTGGAGGGTACCGTCAGGGCCACTTTTACTTTGATCACGGGGCACCGACAGATGATGGCACTGCCAGCGCCAACGGAACCGACGCCAAGGTGTCCTACTACACCTAAGAGTATCTATTATATTGACAAGATAGTCGAGTGACCGCTCTAACAATGGAAATACATGTCCTCAAAGATGGAAGCACTGTATCGTCTTTGATGGAAGGCAGGTGGGAGTAGGCGAGATCAGGTGGGACCATTCTAGCCAATGAGAGGGCAGATATGCGTGTGAACAACAGGCACATTTCCGATATGAAGTATTTGTTTTGTTGGTTGCCGAAATGCCACGTGCGTCCACTTATATCAGTGCATTCGTAACAACCTAAGCAATATGAAACTTCTATTCGATCAAATAAGCCTCAAGTAGCAAATTAGCAATTCCATTTTTCTCATTGACCTCCAAACAAAAATTCCTCACTTCGTGGTCTTATCTTTGGGCGGAGTAAACCCTCTCGCGTCACCTCTTCCTCTCTGACTACACCCAGTATCATGCCACTCTTGCTGGGTGGTGGACAGTGCCAGTTGGCTGGTAAGGAGATTGAGCTGATTGAATCCCATTAATGCCCAGTTTCTGAATACGTCCTCGCTTTCTCCCTTTCTTGAGAGGCTCGCTGATGTGTTGGCGATTAGATAAGTTGCACAGCCACACTAATGAATTGCATCAAAAGTCATATATAATTGAAACCTGTATATGGTATAAACATGTCATTGTCTTTGATAGCACCAGCTGTCATCTACAGTATCTAAACAGAAGTGTGGTACGACTCAGATAGTGAGCGAGTCTGGACCCTCACTCTCAGTGTCAATCAATCGGGTCTGACCAGTGCACCTGTGTGGTCCTATTGACCACTCTCCTTTCTGACCGTAGACATGAAAGGACAAAGGAAAGACCAGTTGTTTATAGCACACCTTGTTTAAATAATTCAGTCTGGTCAAAGAAAAGGATGTGGTCAGCCCTGGCTCCAAATCACTTCTAAATCATCATCACCCGTCCAGTCCTTGTGAGTCATCAGGAGTAATACGCACACAATGAACTGGGCAGTGGCCGCCACACCTTGAAGAGCTGAGGCCTGAGCTCATCGACTGGAGGGAGAACAGTCGAGTCAGGGAGTGGACCACAGTGTGTGTATGTGTGGCCTGTCACTGTGTGTGTGTGTGTGTGTGTGTCAGGGAGTGGACCACAGTGTGTATGTGTGTGTGTGTGGCCTGCGAGAGTGTGTGTGTGGCCAGTGTTTGCTCGCGCAATAATCACATGGAGTGTGGTCATCATCGGGTGAGCAGAGATTAGCTCTTTGGCCATGTGCGTTTCTCATCTGTGGATGGGCTTGGCCAGGAGTGGAGGGGATGGGAGGGAGGACAAGATGTGCTAGACAGGGTCTCGGTGGGATGGGTATCTGGCACAGGGTGCCTGAGTGTTTAGGCTTTGCCTTCGGAGTGGCAGCTTTGAAAATAAAGCAGCCATGTCACGTCACTTTGTAGACAGAGCCAGCAGCAGGGCCTGGCTTCTGTGTGTGAGGCTTTGGCATGAAAGGTGGAAAACATTACCTCTTACCTACAATGCGCACACTTGCCTGCACACACACGCAAGACGAAACCACACACACGCAAGACATGTGCATGTCACTGCTGATTGAAAAAGAGAAATTATGCTTTGTTTGCTTTATATTCTTCATTCATGGGGGACTAGCCAGGTAGCCTAGCGGTTAAGAGCGTTTGGCCAGTAACCAAAAGGTTGCTGGTTTGAATCACCGAAAAATCTGTTGATGTGCCCTTGAGCAAAGCACTTAACCCTAATTGCATTTGCTAAATGACTAAAATGTATGCAAAATAACACAGGCATACCTGCGCACAACACGAACATAGTGGTGCAGTCAAACACACATGGTTCTAAATGGCATGTTATTGCTTTCCCCATTTTAGTTTTAGTCTTCTATCAGACATGTTTATTGTCTGTCTTAAAGAACAACATGTGCTGACAAGACTCAAAATCACATCACACCCTATCTAAAGCACTTGGTGGGGACCAGGGCCCGTAGCCACAAAGTCTCTCATAGTAGGAGTGCTGATCTAGGATCAGTTTAGTCTTTTAGATCATAATTAATACAAATATATTGACAGGTGGGGACCTGATCCTAGATCCGCACTCCTACTATGAGACGCTTTGTGGATACGGGCCCTGATTCCAGTGGACATTAATTTTTCCACCACGTAACACACAAGCATGAACAGGAACAGCACATGTACAAACACGGGCCATCCCCGCACATCCATTCAGACCAAGGACTGAAATTAAAGCAGTGCAAGAGTATATTTTCTCTGCAAAGCTCCTAAAGAGCTTGTCAATACATCTTACAGGAAATAAGCTTCAATATTTACCTTCGCCAAATGTACATAGAGCTCCATAGAAGTTACATAGATGTTTCCCTAGGTACAGATCTAGGATCAGCTTGCTTTTCCCAAATCCTAAACTTAACCATTAATGGGAAAACGCAAAACTGACCCAAGAACAGCATCCAGGGGCAACATAGATGTCCAGGATCAGGACCAGTATGCATCTACTTACAGCCACAACGAGCTGGCTCTCTTTCTGGAGACTGGTTGGGTAACGCACCAAGATAAAATCTGACCGTGGGTTTCATCAGCTGGTATAATTAACCAGTTATGTAACAGTTCTGCTGCCACAGTGATTGCATGGCGGGTTTTCTCCTCATTAAAAACGGACACATCTAATAACGTCATCACCGATGCACATACAGTGAGCTCCAAAAGCTCCAAAAGACAGTGACACATTTGTTGTTGCTTTGACTCTTTACTCTAGCACTTTAGATTTCAAAAATATAAAATGACTATGAGGTTAAAGTGCAGACTGTCAGCTTTAATTTGAGGGTATTTCTATCCATATTGGGTGAACCGTTTATAAATTACAGCACTTTAGGGCCTCCCGAGTGGTGCAGTGGTCTAAGGCACTGCATCGCAGTGCTTGAGGCGTCACTACAGCCCCAGGTTCGATCCCGGGCTATATCAACCGGCCGTGATCGGTTTCCATGTGTTTGATGCCATTCCATTAGCTCCGTTCCAGACATTATTATGAGCTGTCCTCCCCTCAGCAGCCTCCACTGGTTTCAGATTATTTTGTGCCTAATAGAAATGGTAAATAATGTATTGTGTCACTTTGGAGTCACTTTAATTGTAAATGAGAATATGTTTCTGAACACTTCTACATTAATGTGGATGCTACCATGATTATATTATTTCTTATTTACAATAAAAGTGACTCCAAAAGTAACAAAATACATGATTTACCATTAATTTCTATTGGGCACAAAATAATCTGAAACAACCAAAAACAAATAGCAAATGCATCTAACAAATTTGTAGATTCACAAGCTTGATGTAATCATTGCGTGCTATGAATATGGGACCAAATACTTAACTTTTTACTACTTTAATACACGTAAGTGAATTTGTCCCAATACTTTTGGTCCCCTAAAATGGGGGGACTATGTACAAAAAGTGCTGTAATTTCTAAACGGTTCACCCGATATGAATGGAAATACCCTCAAATTAAAGCTGACAGTTTGATTTGAAATCCAACGTGATTGAGTACAGAGCCAAAACAACAAAAAATGTGTCACTGTCCCATTACATTTGGAGCTCACTGTATATACTTTAGCCACATACCCTCCTGGCTTGGATCATTTTCACAAACCCTGAGGGCCAAAAGGTGAGTTTGCTGCTAATTACTTGGTTAGGACGTTGGGTGGGAGATGAGAATAAACACTACTTAATGTGGCCAAAAAACAGGTCAGGAGCCACTCATGTCCCAGACTTGAATGGAGCGATTGAAAAAGGGGTTGTGTCATGGTAACTGGGTTAGCTCATGTAGGGCTCTCGTTAGGTCTGTTAGCTCTCCAGAGTTTCCTCTCTGAGTGATTGTTATTCCGAGTGCGGCGGTGACGACAGATAGACCTACACGACAGCCCGTTCCCACGTAAGACTCCAGGTGTGGTTGACTGATGATGTGTGCGTGTTTTTGTGAAGAAGCCACCCAGCGTGCTACAGTGCTAGACACGGCACCGACACCCACACCCACAGGAAAACGCCAGGCCGGGACATTCCGAAACTAAGCGGTCCACATTCCACACCTAGCGTTACAATTCCGGAAGCTGCGCTTTGCTCATATAAACCCAATGAGTCAGAAGAAATATCAAAATATTTAGTGGAACTTTTGTCTTTGCCCAGACCCAGACGGACCAAAACCCAGTCGACCCGGAGCGAGAGCGCTCCAGAACGGGGATGGGCGAGCCAGACAACAAGGGGCGGGGGAGTGTTGGGGTGCTCCCTGGCACAGACAGGAGTGCAATAGAAAAAGAGAGGGAGGAACGAACATAACTTTTTTTTAAATTGGAAAGGAACAAGCACAGAAATGTCTGTTTAGTCCTAGGCGTCTCCCACCCTCGCTTTCTTCGCTGTGCGGTACTTTGGCCGTCAGAGCAGGTGTTGGGCAGGGAGGGTATAAAGGCCATCTGGAGTGCCGAGCAGTGAGAATGAAGACTTCCACACTGACAGGGCTCAGATGAACCATCTGGTCCCCCCCTCGCTTAAAGAACCTGTTACCAGCTTCTTCACACACCGGCCTCCGGCACTCGCTCTCTCACTAAAAACATAGGCTACCTGTTCACTCACTCGCCTTGATTAGCATTTGCTGTCGGGAGGTTAGTTGAGTGTGAAGATCTGCTTCTTCCTGGTAGATTTCCTAGTTTATTTTTTCTTGTGACTTCTTGGAGTGGAGTCGGGCTGCCATGGCGTGGGTGAGACGTGTGTTTGGACCCGGGATGTCAGTCTGTCTCTGGGCTTTGTGTCTGTCCCTTAGTCTCATCTGGACTTGTCAGGTGACCCAGGCAGCCATCTACAGACACACAGGTACAGTAGAACCTTGATTATATACACACTTAGAAAAAAAGGGTTCATGAAGGGTTCTTCTGTTTTTTTGGTTCCAGGTAGAAATGTTTCACGCAACGAACAACCCTTTTGTAAAAAAGGTTCTACCTGGAACCAAAACAAGGGTTCTCCATCAAGGACAGCTGAAGAACCCGCTCTGGTAGTGCGCCAGAGTGGGCTGACGTTGCTGGTAACTTGTCGTTTCTCTTTTGGTGCACAGGCTGTTTTTGTTTTTTCACAATACATTTCGTTTTACCTTTCTGTAAAATCTTATATAGAATATATTTAGGCTTTGGTCAAATATAAACATTTTGCACACATTTCTTCCATCAATTGAATAGTGACTTGACAAAACAAAACTCCACATAAATCCCCTTAATAAATCAGCGTAGATAAAGATACACATTGTGTGTTGTAATATCAATAAAAAGCACATCTGTGATAATGCATTTTCACATACACTGTATGAATCCATTTCTCAATTTGGGTCACCACTTCTTTGGTATGGAAAGCTTTACTGTTCAGCAGTTAAGTGTAACATTTCCATCTACCGGCCAACTGAAATAATGCTGACAGCGCATGGCGTGATACTGTAGGGCAGGCCTACTTATTCAGGGTCAGTTTGGTATCACTCTTGTGAGTTTATTTGTTAATCCTTGCAATTATGCATGCCATAGCCAGATAAATTGAAAGTGCAATCTAACAACCTGTACCTTTATCAATGTCAATTGATCTCTGTATTCTTTGACTGCAGGTCCATGTATTTACAAGGAGGTTCAGTTTCAGCCTGGACAGACCTTCTACAGGGGCTGTGACAAGTGCTACTGCCACGAAAATGGCTACTTTTGCCTCTCGTGAGTAAACGAACCAAATGAATGGCTAGGTTAAAAGAGACATATGAAAATATTGAGTACTGGTATGCAACAGTGAAATAGCTGGTAAAACCAAAACAGGAATTCTGTTGTTGCCAATATCACAACGTGCCTTGTTTCTGTTTGTATCCCCAGCCCGATGAAACCTACCACATGGCCCAACAAGTGCCAGCGGGTTCCGACAGAGTGTGGCTACCGCATCGTTTATAAGGAGTTGCCGGAGGTGGAGTGTCGTGCATACAGCTGGATCCGGTGATAGGAAGACAGACACCGACGCCCCCTTCAGTCAAAATACAAGATGGCAAGACTCTGGCAGTGGACAACCCTTTTAATGAAGCAGTTACGATGCAGAGAACATACCACACCCGACCTTCAATTTGGGAATTGGTTCTCTCAAAAGGAGGAACCAATTCCCAAATTGAACAACCCAACTCCCAAAGTTTCATCTTTGGTCTGAATGAATGTGAGTTGGGCGCCAGAATGTGTGCACAATATTGACTGTAAAAACATTTACCTGTACCAAAGGACCTCCTCAATTGGCATGGATTCTAATAATGTGTTAAACACAAGTACCGTAAAAGTAGCAACCAACTCCAGTATACAGTCCCCTATCGTCCCAATATGCTTGTTCAAATTCCTGCCCTTGTGGTCTTACTTTAGTGGCCACTGATACATGGGACCAACTGAGTAGATTGGTGGACTGCATTGCCATTCTAAGAGGACAGACCATGTATCACCTCGTGACAAGTACGCAAGACAAATGGCGTCGAGTTATACATGTCGACGCTATTACACTCCACTGCCCAAGTGTGGATGCCCATATCACCCCAACCAGACATCCGTCATTACTGCGCAGTGTTAAAGGTCTATAGCTGTTTCCCCATTATATTTTCCTATCTGTTTCTTCGTAGGTGTACAGTCTTCTATATGACATTGACTAAGTGGAGCTGTCGCACACTGATAGGGTTTCAATGTGAAGGTAGCGAGAGCGCCATCAGTCAACTTCAAACGTAGGCTGGGTTTACACTTCCCTAGGCGTACTCCATAGAGGCTCCGCAACCGCTCTGCGACTTCACACACACGCCACAGAGATTTCGGTTCATGTCAGAATTTGCAACTTTATGCAAGCGTCAGTGACGTATTGCTAAGCATCCTAGCCTCACTCATCACTTGGCTAAGGAGATGCATGCCGATATTTCACCGTTCACTTCATTGTATGTATATAATTTCTTTCTAATAAAACATTGCAGTGTTACATACTGTGTGTGGACATTATTTCACCATTTCCTTCACAGATTTTTGGGGAAAGGTATACACAGCATACCATGGATAGGATGGCAGGTAGCCTAGCGGTTAAGAGCGTTGGCCCAGTAAGCGAAAGGTCGCTGGGTCGATTCCCTGAGCCGACTAGGTGAAGAAAAAAAAATCGGTCAAGGCATTTAATCCTAATTGCTCCTGTAAATCGCTCTGGATAAGAGTGTCTGCTAAATGACTAAAATGTAGGCGGATTGTCCTTCCATGAAATATAAAAATGGCCAATTTCAAAATACATTATCATGAGTATTTTATTATCAAAATGAATAACATCACTCCTGCCTTTTTATCTTTTGGATGGGGAGTCCAAATAATTACCACTATGCTGTGTAAAAATCTAAACAAAAGTTCAACCTCACCAGAAAAAAAAAGGCAGTGTCCAGTTTTTCCAGGACTCCAAAGTGAAGAGGAAACCAGATTTTCTGGACAGACTCAGTCATCCCAATCCGACCATCTGTCCATCGGTAAGATCCAGAAAAGAAATATCATGCTACAAATTTAGTGTACTATATTTTTCTTTGTACAGTTTAACACATTTTATACAAGTACACATGATCTTACATTGTTGTTTTTGTTTCATTTTAGGGTTGTCTTTACTTAAGGTGCTGGTAATTTTAATTTAGGGTAATTTGTCCACAAATTTCTCTGAAGTCTTCTGTCAAACATTCATGTAACAACTGAGTACCCTTTGTCTATGGATGAGGCAATGAGAGGAAAGGTAAAGTGTCTGGTCAAGCTGACAAGTCCCTCTCTCCAAAGCCTTCCCCTAAAGCCCCAGTGTGGTTCCTAGCTCCCCAAAGACATCTAACTCCCAACCAAACTAGAACGTCCGAACGAGCTCCATAAAAAGGTCCATCTTCCTGCGGTCTCGTCTGTCATGAGGAGACTACATCTCCCAGTGTGCATCAGCAATGTCATTTAACATTGATTAAAGTCCCACTGCAGTGGTCATGGCACATGACTTGTTAACGTCGCTGTGTGATTTTTCATATTTTTGTTTTGTATTCAGTTGGTGAGGACCCTACTAAAATGGGGGTACAGCATTATGTGGGAAGGGAGACATCTTGAAGCAGCACTTGTGTAAAAAATAAAAATGAGAACACAGCAGCTTTTTTTTTTTTTATACCATTCAAACAAATTCCGCCATAGATTATCCTCCTATTTTCTTAGGTGGCATACGGAATGCAAGGATTGGTCAGAGGGAGAGAAAAAATATATTCTCAATACATTTTCATAAAAAGAATCCGACAGGATTCAAGAGACAACAAACCCAACAACGGAGTAAAGAAGGAAAAAAATGTATTCGGCTTCTTAGCACAATAAAAAGTTAACGATTACTAGGATGTATTTCTGGCAAAAGTCTGATTCCAAATTACAGATGAGTTGAATCAACCGGTTTGTGTGGAACATAACTGGATTTGAATGTAAATAATTTAAAAAGACGAAAACAACTGCAGCACCATGAATTACAAGATCTGTATGACTCAAGTACAATATAGCAAATCTACTGAGAAGTAGTAATACATCAAATCAACAGAGTCAGGTAGGAAAGAAAAAAAGAGCAGAAGAAAATCAATGAACAGTAAAATACAGATCAAGAGTTTTCAGAAATTGGCTAAGTTTGAGACACAAAAAGCTGGAAATCATAAGGAATGATTTTTAGGCAGCTCGTTTGCCACCCTCTGCATCTTTATAACGGATGACACACACATACGCTCTTGCTCGTATTGTTTCCCCTTTTCAAACGAAACACTTATACTGCAGGACTGACCCGGCTTCTAGCCAAATCCAAAAAGTAACCTCGACAAAGTCTCTGCTGAGTTACACCTGCCATCTCAGCATTATCAAATCAGGTACCAAAACAATAGGTACGCTTCTTTAAAAAGAAAACAAAGAAAACACTTTGTACAGATAATCGTGGTTGAGTTTTACCATCTACTTAGCCTGTTTTACACAGTCTGTTCATGTCAGGGCAATTTGAAATTACACATTAGCTTTTTTCTCTTTTCCATTGATTCCTTGATGAGGTTGAAGTCCCACAATTAGCCATGTGTAGAATGCAGTAATTTATTTTCAGATAAAACAAAAGAAAATAAGAAAGGAGAAATCCACACTAGAAGCCGAGTCCTCTTAGGTCTGTACATATCCCCTCCCCCAAGCCTAGTTTCTCCACAGGGTTTAAGAGAGGAGGTACACGATTTCACACGCGCTCTCGCAAACACACACACACACACACACAAACAACGTCCTAAAAGCTTCCTGACTTTGTCCTTACTCCTGACCCCTGTATGGGGGGGTGCTGGAACTGACTGAGGGGTGTCCCGCGCTGCGGGTAGTGTTGGCCGGTGGAGGCCGCCAGAAGCCTGGAGCCGGCCTGCAGCACTGTCTGCCCGGGGCTGCCTGGTTTCAGGCTCCGGGACGCCTGCTGCTGGCTCAGTCTGGAGGCGTGGTGGGACGCCGGGTTCCCTGCCGCACCCAAGTCTGTTTTAGGGTTGCCGTGAGCCCTGGAGCCAGGGGTGGGAGACCCCGACAACCCACTGTTCAAGAGGCTGGCTTTTAGGTGGCTACCGCCACTGTACATGTGAGACCCGTCCATACTGCTGCTGCCGCTCGGCTGGTGCAGGGGGCCTCCTGGCGATCTGGAGGCCCCACACAGCGCTGAGTCTGCAGTGGAGGTGGTTTGGTTGGGGAAGGAGGACAGGGGGTTGAGGGGCTGTTGTTGATGCTGCTGCGAGGGGTCTTGAGACAGGCCGGAGTGGGAGGACAGGCGAGGGTAGAAGCCCTGGCCTGAGGGGGGGGGAGCCGAGGGGCTGTAGGAGCCACGGAATGGAGAGGACACGCTCTGCTGAAGGAAGGCCGGACTGTCCGCTGTCTGGTGGTGGCTCTCCGATAAGGGGGGCTGCACCTTAGAACGACAAAACACACTAAATTCACCTGACACCCTAGTACACAGCTCAAACTAATTAATATCCAAACACAAGAGTGCCAAAACAAAAACCAGGCCAGACAAAACAAAACCAAGCAAAAGAAAACACTAAACTCTCACAAATTACAAGGGACACCATACCTGATGTGTGTAGACAGACGGGCTGTACCTCTGTGGGCTTTTCATGGGAGAGGCCAGGGGTACCGTCTGGATTTCATACCGGTCTGCATCTGGGATAAACATAACAGGACACAAGCTTAACAGGAGAACAGATGGTACATGCATGCGCATTCCCTGAAGCCTCTGAATCTGAAATGAATTTGGCAAACGTCTTTGTTCCAGACTAGGCTAGATACTGTATCTACATTTCAGACAAGACAAACCTAGACAAGAAAACCAAGACAAACCAGCCTAAACATACCTCTATATTTCAGACTAGACGTCTGTTTTAGTCTAGACTAAAATTGGGACAGGAGGACATCTGGCTTGAATTTGCTACTACTTCATTCATGTGAAAACCAGAACAACTGGTGGTGAAAACGAGTGCAGTACCAGGGTCCTTGTCTGCAGCCGAGCCGTCCGTTCTCTTCAGCACACGGTCCAGCTTGAGGGAGCCCCTCAGTACCCGCTCTAAGACGCCCTGGCCCTCCCTCAGCCGCTCAACTGTCGTGGGCACCATCCTGGACCAGAGCAAAACACCAACACCGTCATGTACAGTACGTTCAGTCACACACAAGGGGCTTATGTAGGACCCTATAAATTCTGTGCATTTTTTTTTGCCCAATTCCGTTTAGTTTTTCTGCCAATTTTTCATGTTTCGCTTTCAAAATCACCTATTTTTTAATAGGAAAACAACCATATTTGAAGTTCCAAGTCCACAACAATGCTTACACCACATCAGGAGGCCACTTTTGAGGTCTGGGAAAAATGTAAGATTTTTTTTATGAGTGTAGTTACCCTTTAATTCAACTGCACACCAGCAAGACATGTGAATGCAAATGCCCACCGAATTAATGCAAATAATCATGATATCATTCTGCCAGGCAGGCATAGGCTACTTTGTAGTTAACATTTAATTAAGAAGGTTTTTGGGAAACCTTTCCATCTACCAAAAGACGGTTATCATTAGCATAATCGCTAACGGGTACACAAAGTGGTTGAAATATGCACGCACTGCGCACACTGGTAGGGGCATTCCTGTGCCGAGAAGTTGAAGGAAAATATGAATTACTGATGCCCTCTGTTCATGTCTTATGGTAAACTTGGGCTAATTACCGTATTTTCCGCACTATAAAGGCGCACCGGAGTATAAGCCGCAGCAGCTAAATTGAATGATGTGTACATATATAAGCCGCACTGGACTATAAGCCGCAGGTGTTTTAATGTTTAATTACCATATGTAAGGGTACGTGCACAGAGGGGATTGTCGGGAAAGAGATGGCTGCTTGAGGAAGCTCCCATTTATTAACATTTCAACAAACAAGTTGCATATTTGCATACCTCTGAAAGCTTTTTTTGAATTTTTGCATTGATACAGTTCTTCCCGCTGGCGTCTCCAACGTCTCACCATTGACTCATTGATGCCAAGGCTACGTGCAGCAGCTCTATTTCCTTCTTTTACAGCCAGATTGACTGCCTTTAACTTAAAAGCTGCATCAAATGCATTTCTACGTTTGTTTTCCATAATGAGGGTTTGTGCATGAAAACTTCCTTTGCACAAACTGTCTCGCTCTCGTAATGTCTGTCTGTCTTGCTCTCGTTCTGTCTCTCGTACCACTCTCGGTTCCACTTTTACTTTTGCGCGCTACCTGTCTCACTCTTTTACAGCCTCCAGCTTTTCCTGCTGGAGCCCGCCGCTTAAAGGTGGGGGGCGCGGACCGGTCATAGAGCCCAAAGAGTTAAAGTTGGTGGACTGTAACCTGTAAAATCCATAGATTTAGGAGGTCTTCTAGTGGCCGTTAGCTGTAAAAATCCATAGATTAGCCGCACCGTTATATAAGCCGCAGGGTCGAAAAATGGGGAAAAAGGCGCGGCTTATAGTCCGAAAATTACAGTAATTACTTTTCTAATAAGTTCAATACATTTATTTGATTTCCTACTAAGTCCAATAAAAAAAATTATATTGTTGAATTCCACTTTAATGTCTGGATTCCGTGATTCCGTCCGTGTTCTCCGCATTGCAGATTTTATATGTCCCAACTTATGTTCAGATCAGCTGGCTATGTCTGGAGACACTGCATGGCGCTCAGGTTGCTGATGTTCCCACCTTTGCCATAACAAGCAAATGGTCTCAAATCCCACAACACGTCACACAAAAGGTGGGAGAGCAAAGATGGATATGTCTGGAAACACTGACAGGGAACAAAGTGCTGTGAGAGGATGTGATGTGGTGTCTAGTCTTACCAGTGGCTGGTGCCTTCCTGAGCCCCAGGCTGCTGCTGTGTTGCTGGTCCTGGAGCGTGGGAGGTGGTGCTGTTGTGTTGGTTATCTGGGGGGCTCACCTCCTCTATCTGTGAGATGGAGGAGTGGGTGGGGGAGGAGAAGGAGCTGTGGGGGGAGGCCGGGGGCTGCAGGTGGAAGGAACGGAGGCCTCCGGGGGACTCGGCGCTGGCACAGATGGAGCTGGGGCGGGTGGGGGTGCCCAGGGAGCTACACCCGGGCTCTGGGTCCTTGCTGCTCCCCTGCTTTCTCTTACGGTACTCCAGCAGAGACACCTGAGGAGTCGAGGGAAAAGAACCATCCCTAGTCAGCCATATGTACAGCATTAGTCCCATGAGGTCACACACACTCACCATGATGTCACACATTGGTACAATACCATTGGTTGCATTGCGACACTAGTGATTATTCACCAGTACAGTATGGCGGTATGGTCAGATGTCATGCATCAACTCAACTGTTAGACGACTTACCTTGAATGCACTTTCGCTTACATGTTATCAACTGACTGACCAAACATCCAAAATGTTACCAAACCCTAAACGGAAGAGAAACTACAGGTCACCAATCTTCTACTTCTACCATCCTGGAAGTTCTATTTTGTTCCATGATTGGTGAACATCCTCTGTTGCTGTGGTTATCTGACGTGGATACATACAGTGGGGAGAACAAGTATTTGATACACTGCCGATTTTGCTAAGTAGGTTTTCCTACTTACAAAGCATGTAGAGGTCTGTAATTTTTATCATAGGTACACTTCAACTGTGAGAGACGGAATCTAAAACAAAAATCCAGAAAATCACATTGTATGATATTTAAGTAATAATTTGCATTTTATTAAAAAATACAATACCTTGGCTGACAATTTGAATCAGTCGACTTCGAGAATAACAGAAAAACAAAGACGCAATCCAGTGTAGCTTTAGCACTCTCTCCCTACAGTGTCGGGACAAAACCCTGCTGAATGGCAACGAAAATGGCTTTTTGTCCCAGAGTATTGATATTGGCATCAGTGTTATTACCAGAATCGGGAAGCTATCATGTTCTAAATGGGTTGTCACGCAACACAGTTCTGTTTGACATTTGAAGCCTTTGTGGATAGTTAGTAACAGGCCAAAATGAAACATCAGCACAGGCAACTTAACATCATCATTACCATCAAATGAAACATCACAACACAAAGCAACCACTGCGAGGCAAGAAACAAAACAGAAAAAAGGAAACACGACAAAAACAGAACCACGGGGCACTCACGTACGGTACATACACCCACACTCAAGAGAATGAGAGAGAACAGCCCGGCAGAATGTCATCATGGCACAGGCAGGAGACTCAAGGAGGGGGTGGGGATGAGAGATGGAGAAGGCTGGCTGAATGGACAGTCCGATATCATGGCTATCGGGGGGCGGAGAGTTCAACCCAAAGAGGGCCGAGAGGAGGGGGGGGGCCCTCAGGAGGCCCCACCTAGAACCTAGGACTTGAAGAATCGCCACACAGTAGGGGTTTCGGACCTGAGGACTACTGTACTTGTTAGGGCCTTTTGATTCTGATTGGACCTCAAAGACTACTTTTATGGACCTTCTGATTGTCCTTGGGCCCTTAGCGGTGCCTCTTGAAGGGCTGCTAGTATGGTTCTTAGATGGGCATTGGCCATACTGCTGGTATGGATCGGACTTGGGCATGGGTCAAGGCTGGTGAAAGGGGGTGCGGGCACAGGGGGACAGAACTATGGATGAGATGGACCATAGACGAATGGCCAGTGAAGCCTACGCCAACATGGCCCAGCCCAACCTCGGCAGCCGGATATGACATCATGAACCATCAGGCTCGTAGCACGGCGCTCCGAGACGATGGGGTGACCATGTTTCTGATATAGAGGTGTTTCTGATATAGAGGTGTTTTGATATAATAGGCCATACTCATGTACGTTTTTGGAGAAGGCGGGTTTGGGGCGGGGCGTGGGGTTTGTATGCGGATGCAAAACAATATTTACATGCACACTTCTAAATGGTATGGAAATATTCACCATATTGTGTACTGTCTTGTATTCACGTCTTACTGCTATAGCCTGGTAACCTGGCTGTCCTGTCAGCAGACTAACGGTTTGCAGGTTGGCCCTCTGCCTTGGAAGAAACAGTGGAATAAAGACTTGGCAAAGGTTTCAGGAGGAGCATAGGGGGAGTGGGAGGGTGGGGAGAGGGTCGACAGAACACACAACCTGTTGGGCTAGCTGCAGTAGGAAAGACAGAATACACATAAAGAAAGAGAAATGTGTAAATCATTCTAGAAGTAGTAGAAGTTTGGCATTATTTGTTTCTAAAGACAGTACAGAGTAAATGCGCCCACTGAACTGAGAGCCTCGAAAGTATAAATGTATAACAATTGTTACCCCGCGTCTATTTTGATTTAATTATCTCGATGTGGAATAACTGAGTCCATTTGACACAAAGTGAATGGACAACACAAAGCAAGGAAATACTACAATGACTGAGCAGCCATTCAGTTTGCACATACTCTACCACACTCTATTTCACTCTTTCCCCTCAAATTTGGACATTATACCAATAAGCAGGTAGGCACTTCTTCCATACTGCCGCTACAGACATGACCTACCGATCATACCCCCATTTGGGAGTTTAATTTAAACACAAATATCTTTGTTAATAGTACAATTTCTTCGGGGGGGGGGGGGGGGGGGGGGGGGGGAACTAAAGCAGGAAGAAGCTGAGAGAGTTGGAGGACTTGCCTTCTTTTTCTGCGGTGGGTTGCTGGTGTGGTGGGGCGGCGTGCCGCTGTCAGGGTAGCCCCCGCCATAGTGCGGCTCGCCGTAGGGCGACAGAGAGCCAGGCCCTGCCTCCACCAGGGGCCCTTGGCCACTCACGGTGCTGTAGAAGGACTCGGCCGGGGAGAAGCTGCCCTCCGATTGGCTGAGGCGCCTGTCGGTGGTGGCGGGGTTGCCCAGGTTGGCGTTGAGCGGGGAGCAGGTATAGATGAGGTTGAACTCAGTCCTGAAGCTCTGCTCTCTAGCCTGCTGTGCCGACTCGGACGGGGTGCCTGGCGCCAGGGGAGTGAGGAGGCCTCCCCCGCCCACCATGGAAGCCAGCGGCCCCTGCGTGTCGGGGGGAGGAGGCCCTGTTGCCAAGAGGAGAGAGAAGTCGTCCGACATGGCGGGCACGGGCCCATCGAGGCCCGAGGACAAGTCGGGGAACTGCAGGGCGCAGCGCGGGGCATCAAAGTCCGGTTGCAGACACGGCTACAGGTGGAGGAAGAAGAAAGGGAAAGAGTTACGAAACAAAACCTGTGACAAAGAAAAACATCATCTGTCCCGTGTTCCCTATCCGGTGACGCTAAAGCTAACGCATCTAGCCCCGTCTCCAGTGCTCTCACAGCTACTCTGGATCTGTGGGATGAATGCCTACCTCTGGAGAGATTGAATCTGGCCTGTGCACAGGAGAGGCTTCTGGAGATGATATGTTCTGGATGGGTAGAAGAGCGAGAGACATGAAATACCATTAGAAACAGATAGACAGCACAGTGAAAACAACCATGTTTATGCACTGTAGTTCTGTATGCAGAATTTTCATATGTTCTGGTACCCAATTGACACACGCTCAGTATGTCCTCTGTGTGTGTGTGTGTGCATGTGTGTGAGAGTATTTCTGTCCTGTGGGTGTGTTCTCTGCATCCTTCCAAAGTACCTCAAACTGCAGTGGCGTGTTGCAGCGGCTGGTTGGCAGCGAGGGCAGTGGCGAGTAGCCAGCAATGCTGTTGGATCGCCGGCGCTCCTCGTCGCCGTAGCAATCCAGCAGCGCGGCAGCGGCGTATGAGGCGGGGCTGAGCAGGGGGTGGTCCGAGGGCAGCGGGGGCGTGATGGGCGACAGGGGCCGCAATAGCAGACCGTGCTCTTCTGAGCCGGGCAAAGGTGGCGCTGCCTCCACCTCCGGGCCATATATGGACCGCCGCTTCTTAGGGGGCGCCGCCAGTTCTTTGTATCGGAAAGAAGGGTGAGGGGAAAGAAAGCAATAGCGTCAGATGACCTGCTGTGACAGGTGTCAGCGCACACTGATGAAAAGGATCTTCATTTGGGGTTAGGTTCATTTAAATGATGTACATGGTGGACTAATTAGGAGAAAGTAAGTAAAACAATACCAGACTAATAATCAACGCTAAACATTGGCGACAATTGACAGCTAAATGCTGGCACGTCTGAGGATGTGCAAGTGTTCTCCTCAACAGCAAGACTGCTATACCAGACCCAGGTTCCAAAAAACTATTTAAACTATTAGAAACCTTTCAAATACTGCAGCTGTGCTTGGCTGACCTGTTGCAATGGAACCAAAAGAAAAGTCCCAAAAGTGCAAACATCGTCCACCTTGCAAATGCTCAACGTATTTGAAAAGACTTTGGATAGTATAAACCAGGTCTGTACTAGATAACAAATGCTACTAGACTTGTTAGTAGACAGTGAACACCAAAAAGAAGTTTCTAGATACCGGCTTTGAAAGGGTTGGGGGTGGAGCTGCTGCTGTTACTTTGGTGGGAGGAGGTGGACTCGGTGCCGTCCTCCAGGCCCCCAGAGCACAGCCCGCTCTCATCCTGGGCTTGTTGGATCCATCTCTGCACAGACGGGAGACACAAACAGGCATGAGACAAAATAATGGAATACTGAATATCCTTCAAACCTATGAAGGGTAGTGAACAAGCGTACACTTGGGATGCATCCACTTCTAAACAGCCCTGTCCTTCTCAAGCACCCACTACACGTCACACTACATTTCCCAACTACCTCTATTCCCAATTTAACCCCAACTTCACAACTCTATCCACTGTTACCTTCTTGAAGGAGCCGTAGGTGGCGTCCACACTGACGGGCCGGCGCCGGCGCTCAGGGTTGAAAGGCGAGCCGAAGCGCACGTAGTGCTTTGGCGCCGTGCAGATGAGCGGCGAGGCCGCCAGCCCCGGCAGCATGTTGAGCGTGGTGGCCAGCACCGTGGGGTCGGTGGTGATGCGCAGTTGCCGCTCCACCGTGGGCACCTCCTGCTGGGCCACCTTGTCCAGCACTTTGTCGTTCAGCCACTCAGTCACCAGATACTGGGTCGGGTCGGGGGGGAATAATTGTTAGCAAACAAATTCTGGAAGACTTGTTAGCGGCAAATTCTAAAAGGGACTTTTTAGCGAGACATTTTGGAATTATTTTTTAACAATAAATGGTGGAAGAGACTTTTAGTGCCAAATTCTACATTTGTGTATATTGGCCTATAAACGCTGTAATACAAAAAAACTAAAGAGTTGTCCTGGTACATTAAAGGTTAAATAAATAATAAATAATTAAATCCCAAAAAAATATGGTGGTTAGAAGCCAGCCCCATCCCTCTCACCTTCTTAGTCTTAGGCAGGTTGCGCAGGTTGCCCTTGTTCAGAGCACTCAGGCCTTCTCCGTCGAGGAGCTGCCCAGCTCCCAGTGCTCCGTCCCCCATCCCCAGCTCTGTCCCGGGGCCCCCCAGGGGACCCTCCTGCCCCTCGGCCACCACCGCCTGCTCCAGGGCCGCCTGCTGCAGGGCCAGGGCCTGCCGCTGGCGCCGGGCTCGCTGCGACGAGCTGGAGCGGTAGCGCGAGATGCGGCTCTTGGGCCGTGGCTTGGAGGAGCGGGCCGGGGGAGGCTTGGAGGGTGCAGCGAGAGGGGCCAGATGGGGAGTGGTACACGCCGGGGCCTTGTCTGTGTCGGCTGCTGAGGAGGGTTCCTGGAGAGAGAGAGAGATTCTGTTAGGGGGGGGGGGGGGGGGTCCGGGGGGGGTCGATATTGAAATTGGAAAATTGGTCACAAAGTTCAATAAGAGAATGTGGCGGTAAGGGGGAGGAAAGTCTGACTCACGGTGACGTAGGTGGCACGGCGGGTGCTTATCCCCACCCCTGCTTGGTGGGGCGCGGCGTTAACCCCCGTGGGGTTCCCTCCGCTCCCCTCTACAGACTCCAGGCCCTCCTGTTTAAGCTCATCCATGCCCCCTGCGCTGGACGTCCTCTTCTACAGGGACAGAGAGAGTGGGTTACGAACTGCAGACTTATACTATGATTTGATAGTGACAGTGGGTTGGTGTGACAGGAATTGTGTCAGAGCGGTGATGTAGCACATACCGGTCTACTGGAGATGAGGACTCCGTTCTCGTCCAGCTCTTCCTCCTCTCCTTCCTCCAGCTTCACCCCATCTAGGAGTCCCTCCTGTAACACACATGCACACACATTACTTTGTGATTGCTAAATGGCACCTACATTTTCATTACACAGTGTACACACACCCCAGTGTGTCTTTGTGGGAAAGCACCACAAAATCCTCTACACCCCACCCATCCTGTCTTTATACGTACACACACACACACACACACACACACCAACGGTAACTTCCTGTGTATACGGACACACACGTCTTTGCACCAAGACAAACACTTCACACACACACACACACCTCTGTGTCGCTGTTGCCCAGGCTGACGTTGCCCTGCAGCGTGTCCCGGACCTCGCCACTCTCCTCGGGTGGCTGGTTACTGTCGTCTGACGTCCCGCACGGTCCCTTGCCGCCGCCTGGCCCCTCCATCTCTCTCCGCTGGGCCTTCCGCCGCCGCGTCTCGGCCCCCGTGGGTGCCGGGAGCTGGGAGGGCGTGGGCAGTGACCCCGTGGCGGGGCAGAGCAGGGTCTCGCGCGGGCTCAGGTTATGCTTCTGCACGGGGCAGTTGTGCTGGTTGCCCTTGTAGCAGGCGCAGTCTACCTTGTAGTTACTGTAATAACGATAACAATAGGATTTTTAGCATGCTTTTCTAAAACCCAAAGATGCTGGACACTGTAGGGTCGAGCGAGAGAGAAGAAAGAGAGAAACTTTGTGCTGATATAAAAAAGCTTTACAGATTTACTTGATAGATTGATAGATACTGACCAGCTATTGAACTCGTAGTCAAAGCCGATGGTGACCTCGGCGTCCTTGGTGATTTGCGTGACGGCGTAGATACAGAGGTGGATCATGCCATCGGCGATCATATGCCGAACCTGGAGAGGGGACAGAAGACATTATGGATTAGCTTGGCGATGATTGTATCCATTTCCCTCTAGAACAGGGGTCTCCAACCTTTTCTAGCATGAGAGCTACTTTTTTTTTTTTTTTATGAAACATGTTCGCAAGCTACTCATTTTTTTCTAGCTTTCAAATAGGAACATTCTTCTCTTCTCCCCTGCTATTCTTCCCCAGGTCCTTAGTGTACAAGAGAAAGTAGTGCACTGTGTTTTCTGTCAATATACCTGGTAAAATAATGGTTAATAAACAACTCTAAGGGGGGCACAATAAAATCTGTAATTTATTCCTAAATTAGTGTTTTCTCAGTTGTATTTTTCCTGGTTTTTCACTCTCAAAATTACAATTGTTCATAGAGAAACAACGAAATTGGATGTCCATGTTCATGGTTAAATCACATCAGAATACAATTTTTTTTAGGCCTGGAAAAAAACTACCAAATTGATTGTTTATGAAAGTTTGCAATGGAACACACGACAAATTGCATATCGGCCTACTTTCGGAATTGTTTGATCGACCTGTTGGAGACCACTGTTCTAGAAGGGTGCGTCTCAATAGTCTTAAATGGCCTCCTCTCCCCATCTCTTTTCCTTCCTCTATGCTGATGTAAGAGACTAGGAACGGTGAGAGCTAAATTCACCTGGTCTAACATTTCAAATGAGTGAGGTGAACTAAGGAGAGGAGATGAGGGAGTAAGTGTAGACTATTGAGATACACCCAATGCCTTTCTTGAAGGAAAAAAAAAAACAAGATGGCTGACCTCTGCGTTGGGGGTGCAGGACCTCCGGATGAAGCGTGCATCATTCCCAAATGTCCGCGCGTCCACGCACATCCCCACGTCGTTGAATTTGGAGTAGAACAGCACGAAAGGGTAGGGCCTAGAAAAAGTCAAAACCATGTCAAAATGTGTATTTATGCGTAATATTTTACAGCTGAAGTGTGTTTATCCTGAATACATCCTCAATTTCCTTCATAAAACATTTAAAAGCCATGCAATGGTGCAGCATATGAAAACCAAAATATTCCACCTTAAAATGTCAGTTTTTACATCTTACAAATGAGTTGGTCAGGTTGCAAAAAAAAAACAAAGATGCCACTTGTTTTTAAATACTGCTTGAAAAAGCATGGAATTTTGGGGAATTCTGCAACCATATGAATAAGTGTAGTGAATGAATGCATACTTTTTGAAGAAGTGTCCGTTGACCTCAAACTGCTGTTTGAGCATGACCTTGCCCCGGTACTCGATGATCAGGGTGTCTGGCTCCAGATCCCTTGACGCCCGCAGGATCTTCCGGTGCTTCTGCACGCGCGTCACCCGCCCCAGCTGTAACTGCATCTGAGAGCCAAGCACCGTGTTGTTGCACGCCAACTCCGTGCGGTTAATTGTATCCATGGCGTCGGCCGATGGGTTGACCTGGGCCGGTGAGGTCGTCGTCGTCGCCGCTGGCGTCATCTTGCCCACTACCACGCCATCGGCGGCGACTGTAACGGTGGCGGCGCGGTGCAGCTGGAGCAGTGTCTGGACGTCAGCACTGTACTGGTTAGCCGTGGCCTCCTCGTACTGGTCAGTCCACTGGCGGATGCGGCTCTCCCAGCCCTCCGCCGTGGTCTCGTCCACCGCGCTGGCCTCCGTCGTGGAGTTCTGGGGAGGAGAACGTTTTTACTTCAGAACCGTGTCGTGTTGAAAATACATGTATTTTTATTTTATTCACCTCCATTCTAAGATCTTTTTCATAAATGACCATTTCAGGTCTACAACCAGTGTTTCTTCCCCTTAGATGAATGGGTTATCATGGGTGGGTGGTGCACTCTGCTCTATATCAACTTACCATATGATAATAAGATGATGGGTGTATTTGTGTTATGCTCAATGGAACATGTCACTCAATGGAACCCTGACGCTAACAAAGTGGCACTGATGATTTCTTGATCCCGTTCACTACTGCTGTGAAGTTCAAATGTGTCATTTATATGTTCATATATAACTAAACAGAAGATCCTCGGGAATGAATTAATCTTACCTTCATCCTCATGGACTTTCTAGAACCCTCTCTGAAGGCCTGTAAAGACAGACACGGTCGTTTACTTACAACGTTTACACAACGTTTCAAAGTCTACTCACAGCATTTGACAATGTTTCAGAGTCTACACACAGCGTTTAGACAATGTTTCAGAGAGTCTACTACTCAACGTTTAGACAACATTCAGAGGGTCTACTACTCACAACGTTTAAACAACGTTTCAGAAAGTCTACTTACAATGTTTACACGTTTCAGAGATTCATCTAAATAATGTAGCAAAAATAACTTTCTGCTACTAGAAAAAGACTGCCACTTCTCTCTTGGCCTCTATAGGTATAATTGGCATATTCAGCCTTAAGAGCAAGTTAAAACAGGAAACTTTACGATCTTGGTCCTCTTCCTAGCTGTGGGTTTTGAATTTGCACCCTCAGCACCCTTTTTACACTTTGCTCATGTGGCATTTGGTACACTTGGCCATTTTCCCCATACTATCGGTGTCTTTAGCAAGGATACTCTTGCCGTCGCTACCGCTGCATTTAACCCACGTAGTGGCTGGCACCTTCCGCTAGCTTTTGCCTGGCATGCCTCGCATTTCGCACACACTTAGGACTCTTTGCTAAGTGTGCCCTTTTCAGGTCTGTGCCCTTGCTCCCTAGTTCCTACCTTAATTTTCTTGCCCTTGGGCGCTCCACGGGCCTTCTCTGTGCTCTTCTTCCTCTTCTTGGACTTGTTCCGCTTGATCCGGTTGACAGTGAGCGTGATGCTGGTGGGCGTGTGCTGCGTTGCCGTGTAGGACACAGTGGCCGGCGACACCTCCTCGTCCCCACTCTCTGTGGCACTGCTATCGCCCACTAGAAGCACAAGAGAGATTTGAGCATGCACAGGTACTTGGCAAAGTTAGTTTCCACCTGGGCACGCCAACAGTAAAGACTTAGGGTTGGTTTCCCGGACTAAAAAGCTATTTAAATAGAGATTCTGCATTTAGCTTTTTAGACCAGGCCTAAGGGTGCTTTTCACACCAAATTGGATTGGAGCGGTTTTTCCAAACTCTGGCGCGTTTTCTCCCTTAGTTCAGTTCGTTTGGACTGGTGTGAACACTAGGGAGTGCACTATCCAACACCGTGGTTTGCTCAAAAAGTCTCGGTCCGATTCCATTTGTACTGTGGTGTGGTTTGCTGCAGTCCGTACCAAACAGTAAAAGAACCAGAGGCGCATGCAGTATTATTGGTTGTTTGACTGCCAGTCTTTGATAAAATGCACGCAGTACCATAACTTAACATTCTGTGAGTAGCAGCGCATTTATGTAACAGCGCATTTATGAGCGCATCCATGCAGATTAATGGAGAAGGGGGCTATACTGTAGGCTACTGAGTCCCTAGTGAAAGTCTACACACCCCTTGCACAGTCTTCACATTTTGCTGCCTTAAAATAAAATCTAAAAAGGGATTACATAGTATTTTCAAGTATTGCGGTGGCAGCATCATGTTATGCTTGTCATTGGCAGGGACTGGGGAGTTTGTCAGGATCAAAAGAAAAATGAAAGGAGCAAAGCCCAGGTAAAAAGTTAAAGGAAAACCTGCCTCAGTCTTCTGAAAACCCTGGGATAGAGTTTTATCAGCAAGACACTTACACAGATTTTTATATTAAAGACACATGGCTCTCCAAGAGATGTTGCGTGTTCATGGGTGGTCTAGCCTCTGTACGGACTTAAATTTGTTTGACGATCAGTCAAGGTTGAAATATTGCTGTCCATCAATGATTCCCAACCAAATTTACTGAGCTTGAGCAATTTTGACCGAAACAATGGACATATGTTCCCCTAAGAGTTGTGCAAAGTTGGTAGAATATTATTCCAAATGATTCACAGCTGTAATGTCTGCCAAAGATGCTTCCACCAAGTACTAACTCTGGGGTGTGAAGACATATTTAATCAAGACTATTTGTTTTTTTGTTTAGAAAATGTTCTCTAACTTTCTTTCATTTTGAATATGTGGAGTAGGTTGTGTAGATCTGAAGGAACAAACTCCAATTTAATCCCTTTTTAGATATAATTTTAAGGCAGCAAAATGTGAAGATTGTGCAAGGGGTGTGTCGACTTTCACTAGGGACTGTAGTATATTCTCCTCCAGGCGGCCATTGTCGCCGTTAGAGCGGATTTTGCGCTGTTTCCTCCCACTTTTGTTGGATGACCAAAGCGAAAGTAATATGAAGTTTGGGACACACAAGTTATGCTTCTTGATAATCATAGATGGATTTAACGTGACAATTTTCTCCAATAAACAAATGACTCGTATGAACACATGGTTTTGTTTGACATTTGGCAATGTGAAACCAACATGACCAAATGTATACAAATACAAATGTAACAAATGAAATCAAAGTCGGATTCGAACTATAGCTATGAAGTGTGTGTGAAAAGCCCTAAACTTAATCAGCGTCCAGGAAAACTGGCCCATGGAGTTTACGTGAGGTTAAGTTGAGGCCAAGTGGCACCATGTATCTACGTACTGCCAGTGCATTAATGTGGTGGCTGTATGTGTGTTCCATACCTGGAATACGCACATTGAGATATACAGTGAGGGAAAAAAGTATTTGATCCCCTGCTGATTTTGGACGTTTGCCCACTGACAAAGAAATGATCAGTCTATACATTTAATGGTAGGTTTATTTGAACAGTGAGAGACAGAATAACAACAAAAACTCCAGAAAAACCCATGTCAAAAATGTTATAAATTGATTTGTATTTTAAATGAGGGAAATAAGTATTTGACCCCCTCTCAATCAGAAAGATTTCTGGCTCACAGGTGTCTTTTATACAGGTAACGAGCTGAGATTAGGAGCACACTCTTAAAGGGAGTGCTCCTAATCTCAGCTTGTTACCTGTATAAAAGACACCTGTCCACAGAAGCAATCAATAACTCAGACTCCAAACTCTCCACCATGGCCAAGACCAAAGAGCTCTCCAAGGATGTCAGGGACAAGATTGTAGACCTACACAAGGCTGGAATGGGCTACAAGACCATCGCCAAGCAGCTTGGTGAGAAGTTGACAACAGTTGGTGCGATTATTCGCAAATGGAAGAAACACAAAATAACTGTCAATCTCCCTCGGCCTGGGGCTCCATGCAAAATCTCACCTTGTGGAGTTGCAATGATCATGAGAACGGTGAGGAATCAGCCCAGAACTACACGGGAGGATCTTGTCAATGATCTCAAGGCAGTTGGGACCATATTCACCAAGAAAACAATTGGTAACACACTATGCCGTGAAGGACTGAAATCCTGCAGCACACGGAGGTCCCCCTGCTCAAGAAAGTACATATACAGGCCCGTCTGAAGTTTGCCAATGAACATCTGAATGATTCAGAGGAGAACTGGGTGAAAGTGTTGCGGTCAGATGAGACCAAAATCGAGCTCTTTGGCATCAACTCAACTCGCCGTGTTTGGAGGAGGAGGAATGCTGCCTATGACCCCAAGAACACCATCCCCACCGTCAAACATGGAGGTGGAAACATTATGCTTTGGGGGTGTTTTTCTGCTAAGGGGACAGGACAACTTTACCGCATCAAAGGGACGATGGACGGCGCCATGTACCGTCAAATCTTGGGTGAGAACCTCCTTCCCTCAGCCAGGGCATTGAAAATGGGTAGTGGATGGGTATTCCAGTATGACAATGGCCCAAAACACAAGGCCAAGGCAACAAAGGAGTGGCTCAAGAAGTAGCACATTAAGGTCCTGGAGTGGCCTAGCCAGTCTCCAGACCTTAATCCCATAGAAAATCTGTGGAGGGAGCTGAAGGTTTGAGTTGCCAAACGTCAGGCTCGAAACCTTAATGACTTGGAGAAGATCTGCAAAGAGGAGTGGAACAAAATCCCTCCTGAGATGTGTGCAAACCTGGTGGCCAACTACAAGAAAAGTCTGACCTCTGTGATTGCCAACAAGGGTTTTGCCACCAAGTTCTAAATCATGTTTTGCAGAGGGGTCAAATACTTATTTCCCTCATTAAAATATAAATCAATTTATAACATTTTTGACATGCGTTTTTTCTGGATTTTTTGTGTGGTTATTTTGTCTCTCACTGTTCAAATAAACCTACCATTAAAATTATAGACTGATCATGTCCTTGTCAGTGGGAAAACGTACAAAATCAGCAGGGGATCAAATACTTTTTTCCCCTCACTGTATGTTATGCAGTCTATGTCATGTGGCATTCACCATACCTGATACATTTTCTTGTTTCCGGCGTTGGCCGTCCAGTCCTTTCCTCCTGTCTAGCCCCCTGAAATCACAGAAATATGAACATTACAACCAGGAAATTGCAGATCTTATATATACAGTGCATTCGGAAAAGTATTCAGACCTCCTGCCGTTTTTCACATTGTTACGTTACAGCCTTATTCTCAAATGGCTTAAATTGTTTTTTTCCTCATCAATCTACACACAATACCCCATCATGACAAAGCAAAAACAGGTACCGGTGCAGAGTCAATGTGCGGGGGCACAGGTTAGTCGAGGTCATTTAGGTAATATGTACATGTGGGTAGAGTTAAAGTGACTATGCATAGATAATGAAAAGAGTAGCAGCAGCGTAAAAGAGGGGGAGGGGACAATGCAAATTGTCCGGGTAGCCATGATTAGCTGTTCAGGTGTCTTATGGCTTGGGGGTAGAAGCTGTTAAGAAGCCTTTTGGACCTAGACTTGGTGCTCTGGTACCGCTTGCCGTGCAGTAGCAGAGAGAACAGTCTATGACTAGGGTGGCTTGAGTCTTCTTCTGACACCGCCTGGTATAGCGGTCCTGGATGGCAGGAAGCTTGGCCCCAGTGATGTGCTGCAGTTGTCGTACCAGGCAGTGATGCAACCAGTCAGGATGCTCTCGATGGTGCAGCTGTATAACTTTTTGAGGATCTGAGGACCCATGCTAAAACTTTTCAGTCTCCTGAGGGGGAATAGGCTTTGTCATGCCCTCTTCACGATTGTCTTGGTGTGCTTGGACCATGATAGTTTGTTGGTGATGTGGACACCAAGGAACTTGAAGCTCTCAACCTGTTCCACTACAGCCCCGATGATGAGAATGGGGGTGTGCTCAGTCCTCTTTTTTTTCCTGCAGTCCACAATCATCTACTTTGTCTTGATCACATTGAGGGAGAGGTTGTTATCTTGGCACCACACGGCTAGGTCTCTGACCTCCTCCCTATAGGCTGTCTCATCGTTGTCGGTGATCAGGCCTACTGTTGTGTCGTCTGCAAACTTAATGATGGTGTTGGAGTCATGCTTGACCATGCAGCCATGGGTGAACAGGGAGTACAGGAGGGAACTGAGCACGCACCCATGAGGGGCCCCCGTGTTGAGGAACAGAGTGGCAGATGTGTTGTTACCTACCCTTACCACCTGGTAAGTCAGGAAGTCCGTCAGGAAGTCCAGGATCCAGTTGCAGAGGGAGGTGTTTAGTCCCAGGGTCCTTAGCTTAGTGATGAGCTTTGAGGGCACTATGGTGTTGAACGCTGAGCTGTAGTCAATGAATAGCATTCTCACATAGGTGTTCCTCTTGTCCAGGTGGGAAAGGGCAGTGTGGAGTGCATTAGAGAATGCATCATCTGTGGATCTGTTGGGGCGGTATGTAAATTGGAGTGGGTCTAGGGTTTATGGGATAATGGTGTTGATGTGAGCCATGACCGGCCTTTCAAAGCACTTCATGGCTACAGACGTGAGTGCAACAGGTCGGTAGTCATTTAGGCAGGTTCTTAGTGTTCTTGGGCACAGGGACTATGGTGGTCTGCTTGAAACATGTTAGTATTACAGACTCAGTCAGGGACATGTTCGGAGTACACGTCCTGGTAATCCGACTGGCCCAGCGGCCTTGTGAATGTTGACCTGCGTAAAAGTCTTACTCACATCGGCTACGGAGAGCGTGATCACATAGTCATCCGGAACAGCTGATGCTCTCATGCATGCTTCAGTGTTGCTTTTTTCGAAGCGAGCATAGAAGTGATTTAGCTCGTCTGCTAGGCTCATGTCACTGGGCAGCTCGCGGCTGTGCTTCCCTTTGTAGTCTGTAATAGTTTGCAAGCCCTGCCACATCCGACAAGCGTCGATGCCGGTGTAGTACGATTCAATCTTAGTCCTGTATTGACTCTTTGCCTGTTTGATGGTTCGTCGGAGGGCATACCAGGATTACTTATAAATGTACGGGTTAGAGTCCCGCTCCTTGAAAGCGGCAGCTCTACCCTTTAGCTCAGTGCGGATGTTACCTGTAATCCATGGCTTCTGGTAGGGGTATGAACGTACGGTCACTGTGGGGATGACGTCATCGATGCACTTATTGATGAAGCCAGTGACTGATGTGGTGAACTGCTCAATGCCATCGGAAGAATCCCGGAACATATTCCAGTCTGTGCTAGCAAAACAGTCCTGTAGCTTAGCATCTGCGTCATCTGACCACTTCCTTATTAACCGAGTCACTGGTGCTTCCTGCTTTCGTTTTTGCTAATAAGCAGGAATCAGGTGATAGAATTATGGTCACATTTGCCAAATGGAGGGCGAGGGAGAGCTTTGTACGCGTCTCTGTGTGTGGAGTAAAAGGTGGTCTTGAGTTTTATGAAAACTCTCTTGATAAATAGTGTGGTCTACAGCTTATCATGAGATACTCTACCTCAGGCGAGCAAAACCTTGAGACTTCCTTAATATTAGATTTAGTGCACCAGCTGTTGTTTACAAATATACACAGACCGCCACCCCTTGTCTTACCGGAGTCAGCCGTTTTATCCTGCCGATGTAGCGTATATCCCACCAGCTGCATGTTCAGCCACGACTCGGTGAAACATAAGATATTACAGTTTTTAATGTCCCGTTGGTAGGATATCCTTGATCGTAGGTCGTCCATTTTGTTTTCCAATGATTGTACGTTGGCTAATAGGACGGAAGAGGCAGATTACTCGCTCGCCGTCAGATCCGTACAAGGTACCCCGACCTACATCCACGATATCTCCATCTCTCATGCGAATGACGGGGATTTGGGCCTTGTCGGGTGTCTGTAGAATATCCTTAACGTCTCACTCGTTGAAAAAAAATCTTCATCCAATACGAGGTGAGTAATCGCTGTCCTGATATCAAGATGCTCTTTTTGGTCATAAGAGACGGTGTCAGAAACATTATGTTCCGAATAAATTATAAATAAACGTAAAACAATTGGTTGGTGGGCCGTAAAACGGCAGCAATCTCCTCCGGCGCCATTATAAAATATGACCTTTCCATTACTCAGTACTTTGTTGAAACACCTTTGGCAGCGATTACAGCCTTGAGTCTTCTTGGGTATGATGCTACAAGCTTGGCACACCTGTATTTGGGGAGTTTCTCTCATTCTTCTGTGCAGATCCTCTCAAGCTCTGTCAGGTTGGATGGGGAGTGTCGCTGCACAACTATTTTCAGGTCTCTCCAGAGATGTTCGATCGGGTTCAAGTCCGGGCTCTGGCTGGCCACTCAAGGACATTCAGAGACTTGTCCCGAAGCCACTCCTGCGTTGTCTTGGCTGTGTGCTTAGGGTCGTTGTCCTGTTGGAAGGTGAACCTTCGCCCCAGTCTGAGGTCCCGAGCGCTCTGGAGCAGGTTTTACATTTACATTTTTACATTTAAGTCATTTAGCAGACGCTCTTATCCAGAGCGACTTACAGTTAGTGAGTGCATATATTATATATTTTTTTTTTGTTTTTTTTTTATACTGGCCCACCGTGGGAATCGAACCCACAACCCTGGCGTTGCAAACGCCATGCTCTACCAACATCCCTGCCGGCCATTCCCTCCCCTACCCTGGACGACGCTGGGCCAATTGTGCGCCGCCCCATGGGTCTCCCAGTCGCGGCCGGCTACGACAGAGCCTGGATTCGAACCAGGATCTCTAGTGGCACAGCTAGCACTGCGATGCAGTGCCTTAGAGCACTGCGCCACTCGGGAGGTTTTCATCAAGAATCTCTTTGTACTTTGCTCTGTTCATCTATCCCTCGATCCTGACTAGTCTCCCAGTCCCTGCCGCTGAAAAACATCCCCACAGCATGATGCTGCCACCACCATGCTTCACCGTAGGGATGGTGCCAGGTTTCTTCCAGATGTGACGCTTGGCATTCAGGCCAAAGATTCCAATCTTGGTTTCATCAGACCAGATAATCTTGTTTTTCATGGTCTGAGAGTCCTTAAGGTGCCTTTTGGCAAACTCCAAGTGGGCTGTCATGTGCCTTTTACTGAGGAGTAGCTTCCGTCTGGCCACTACGATAAAGGCCTGATTGGTGGAGTGCTGCGGAGATGGTTGTCCTTCTGGAAGGTTCTCCCATCTCCACAGAGGAACTCTGCAGCTCTGTCAGTGACCATCGGGTTCTTGGTCACCTTCCTGACAAAGGCCCTTCTCACCCAATTGCTCAGTTTGGCCAGGGGGCCAGCTCTAGGAAGAGTCTTGGTGGTTCTAAACTTCTTCCATTTAAAAATGAATGGAGGCCACGGTGTTCTTTGGGACCTTCAATGCTGCAGACATTTTTTGGTACCCTTCTCCAGATCTGTGCCTCGACACAATCCTGTCTCGGAGCTCTACGGACAATTCCTTCGACTTCACGGCTTGGTTTTGCTCTGACATGCACTGTCAGCTGTTTTAGCTTATATAGACAGGTGTGTGCCTTTCCAAATCATGTCCAAATCAATTGAATTTACCACAGGTGTACTTTGTAGAAACATTTCAAGGATTATCAATGGAAACAGGATCACCTTCCAACAGGACAACGATCCTAAGCATACAGCCAAGACAACGCAGGAGTGGCTTCGGGACAAGTCTCAATGTCCTTGAGTGGCCAGCCAGAGCCCGGACTTGAACTCGATCGAACATCTCTGGAGACACCTGAAAATAGCTGTGCAGCGACACTCCCCATCTAACCTGACCTGGATCTGCAGAGAAGAATGGGAGAAACTCCCAAATACAGGTGTGCCAAGCTTGTAGCATCATCTCAAGAAGACTCAAGGCTGTAATCGCTGCCAAAGGTGCAAAGTACTGAGTAAAGGGTCTTAATACTTATGTAAGTGTGATATTTCCTTTCTTTTTTTTTACATTTACAAACATTTCTAAAAACCTGTTTTTGCTTCGTCATTATGGGGTATTGTGTGTAGATTGATGAGGGAAAAAACTATTTAATCAATTTTAGAATAAGGCTGTAATGTAACAAAATGCGGAAAAAGTCAAGGGGTCTGAATACTTTCCGAATGCACTGTATATATGATATACTATAAGTCATATATATACAGTGCTATAAAAAAGTATTTTCCCCCTTTCTAATGTTCTCTACTTTTGCATATTTGTGATACTGAATGTTATCAGATCTTCAACCAAAACCTAATATTAGATAAAGGGAACATAACTTTTTGGATGACATAGTTCCAGTAATGCCTGGCGAAAACCAAACACTGCATTCCACAGTAAGAACATCATACCAAAGGTCAAGCATGGTGGTGGTGGTGTGATGGTTTGGGGATGCTTTGCTGCCTCAGGACCTGGACGACTTGCCTTAATAGAAGGAACAATGAATTCTGCTCTGTATCAGAGAATTCTACAGGAGAATGTCAGACCATCCGTCTGTGAGCTGAAGCTGAAGCGCAGCTGGGTCATGCAGCAAGACAATGATCCAAAACACACAATCAAGTCTACATGAACATTGCTAAAAAGCAACAAATTGGAAGTTTTGGAATGGCCTAGTCAAAGTCCAGACCTAACCCCAATTGAGATGTTGTGGCAGGACTTGAAACGAGCAGTTCATGCTTGAAAACCCACACGTCACTGAGTTAAAGCAGTTCTGCATGGAAGAGTCGGCAAAAATTCCTCTATAGTGACGTGAGAGACTGATCAACAACTACAGGAAGCATTTGGTTGGAGTCATTGCAGCTAAAGGTGGCACAACCAGTTATTGAGTGTAAGGGGGCAATTACTTTTTAACACAGGGGAATTGGGTGTTGCATAACTTTGTTTATGAAATAAATGAAATAAATATGTAATTGTTGTGTTATTTGTTCACTTATGTTCCCTTTATCTAATATTAGGTTTTGGTTGAAAATCTGATAACATTCAGTATCACAAATATGCAAAAGTAGAGAAAATTAGAAAGGGGGCAAATACTTTTTCATAGCATATATATATAATATATATATATATATATATATACATACATATACATACACACATACATACATACATACATACATACATACATACACACACACACAGCGGGGAGAACAAGTATTTGATACACTGCCGATTTTGCAGGTTTTTCTACTTACAAAGCATGTAGAGGTCTGTAATTTTATCATAGGTACACTTCAACTGTGAGAGACGGAATCTAAAACAAAAATCCAGAAAATCACATTGTATGATTTTTAAGTTATTAATTTGTATTTTATTGCATGACATAAGTATTTGATACATCAGAAAAGCAGAACTTAATATTTGGTACAGAAACCTTTGTTTGCAATTACAGAGATCATACATTTCCTGTAGGTCTTGACCAGGTTTGTACACACTGCAGCAGGGATTTTGGCCCACTCCTCCATACAGACCTTCTCCAGATCCCTCAGATTTCGGGGCTGTCACTGGGCAATACGGACTTTCAGCTCCCTCCAAAGATTTTCTATTGGGTTCAGGTCTGGAGACTGGCTAGGCCACTTCAGGACCTTGAGATGCTTCTTACGGAGCCACTCCTTAGTTGCCCTGGCTGTGTGTTTTGGGTCGTTGTCATGCTGGAAGACCCAGCCACGACCCATCTTCAATGCTCTTACTGAGGGAAGGAGGTTGTTGGCCAAGATCTCGCGAAACATGGCCCCATCCATCCTCCCCTCAATACGGTGCAGTCGTCCTGTCCCCTTTGCAGAAAAGCATCCCCAAAGAATGATGTTTCCACCTCTATGCTTCACGGTTGGGATGGTGTTCTTGGAGTTGTACTCATCCTTCTTCTTCCTCCAAACACGGCGAGTGGAGTTTAGACCAAAAAGCTATATTTTTGTCTCATCAGACCACATTACCTTCTCCCATTCCTCCTCTGGATCATCCAGATGGTCATTGGCAAACTTCAGACGGGCCTGGACATGCGCTGGCTTGAGCAGGGGGACCTTGCGTGCGCTGCAGGATTTTAATCCATGACGGTGTAGTGTGTTACTAATGGTTTTCTTTGAGACTGTGGTCCCAGCTCTCTTCAGGTCATTGACCAGGTCCTGCCGTGTAGTTCTGGGCTGATCCCTCACCTTCCTCATGATCATTGATGCCCCATGAGGTGAGATCTTGCATGGAGCCCCAGACCGAGGGTGATTGACCGTCATCTTGAACTTCTTACATTTTCTAATAATTGCGCCAACAGTTGTTGCCTTCTCACCAAGCTGCTTGCCTATTGTCCTGTAGCCCATCCCAGCCTTGTGCAGGTCTACAATTGTATCCCTGATGTCCTTACACAGCTCTCTGGTCTTGGCCATTGTGGAGAGGTTGGAGTCTGTTTGATTGAGTGTGTGGACAGGTGTCTTTTATACAGGTAACGAGTTCAAACAGGTGCAGTTAATACAGGTAATGAGTGGAGAACAGGAGGGCTTCTTAAAGAAAAACTAACAGGTCTGTGAGAGCCGGAATTCTTACTGGTTGGTAGGTGATCAAATACTTATGTCATGCAATAAAATGCAAATTAATTACTTAAAAATCATACTATGTGATTTTCTGGATTTTTGTTTTCACAGTTGAAGTGTACCTATGATAAAAATTACAGACCTCTACATGCTTTTTAAGTAGGAAAATCTGCAAAATCGGCAGTGTATCAAATACTTGTTCTCCCCACTGTATGTATATGTATATATATATATATATATATATATATGTCTGTATTCAATGTAAGACAACTAGAAGTGGTGACCCACCATTAATATGGCTAATATATATATATATATATATATATATATATATATATATATATATATATATATATATATATATATATATATATATATATATATATATATATACACACAACCATCCAACATCCTACACAGAGTGTACCATGTATTTGGAACCTTTTCTCAAAATGGCCGCCGCTGGCTCTCACCTGCAGCTCTCGCACTTTATGAGGAAGCCATCCTGAGTCAGGCTGCAGTGGCACCAGCCGGCCACGGCCCCTTCTTCCTCCGACGAGCTGTCGCTGTCAGCAGAGTTCTCCTCCTGGCGGCCGTTGTCGTGGTAGCGGGAGTTAGGGCCGCGTGCCATGCCGTTGAGCTCCATGCGGGGGATGATGGTTTGGGAGAGCGGGGAGGCGGGTGGGGTGGGGGGAGGGGGCGCGCCATAGTTGTGATCCTGACAACACACAACGGAAGACTGTTGCATCTTCAAACAATGGGTGTTCAGGCACAAAAAAAAGGAAGAAGGGGGAAACGGAAAATGGAAGACGAATGAAAATGAGGGCAAACAAAATGGTACGTGACACAATACAGCATGTTAGCTAAAAACGCAAGAGGGTGCTGCGAACGTGTTAATCAGCATTAGAGATTCATAGTATTACAGCCTTGCGCTGACTTTATTTTGTTATGTTTTTCTAGATACTTGAGACTTAGCATGTCGTGCGGGACTCTCCTTCCTCTCTGATCTAAGACTATGCATGCAACAGTACTGGCCTTACGCGCTCAGACCGACACATTCATTTAGTATACTGCGAAAAGTCCACAAGGGATATCTTACAAAAGGTACTTGATTGGAATGTTGATATCTTTATATATAAGAGAGACTGGCCTATAAAATTGGCCAAGTGATGAAGGAAGAAAAGAGCTGTGTACTTACAGTATATGGTAGTCCCCGATACCCATGACTCTGTGCACTCACACAGCTGTGGTTAGGGTAGTTTTTCTCATTCACGGCAGGGCTTGCTTCCACTGACTCAGGGCTGAGAAAGGGAGAGAGAACGAAAGCGTAAGCAGGAGAAACATGGAGAGTAAAAGAGTAATGGTACAGACACACTGAGAAATCTGACTGCTGATAGGTACTTAGCACAGTAGGAGGCTGTTCCTTCTCTTGCTTGAACAAAGACGTCCCTGCTGTGTACCGACAAACCTCAGTTTCTACTTGTAGAATCGCAATGCTCATCAGTTGCCGAGAAGTTGACTTTGAGCCAATCAGAGAGCACAAACCTCCACGAGGGGGAGCCGACAGCAGTGATAAGTGAAAAAGAGGGCACTTTTCCTGGTGTAATCCACCCCCTATTTATTAGAATTGTTCTAACTAAAACAATAACACTTCATAATACATCTTTTTTTTCTATAGCAAGTCTTTACATCTTTTACATTTAGCTAGGGATTTTTTTTTTGTTAGGTTCAGTTTGATAATGTGCAACTGCTCATTATTTAGCTAGCTAGCTAACTTTAGCTCGCTAACTGAGCTAGGCAGTCACACACACTTCATATTAAACAAATTAAATGGTAAGTGAAGCACAATGCACAGAACACTAAATGCTTTACCAAGCTAGCCATCTAGCAAGATGAAGAAATCATTTAATTCACTCTCCATTATCCCATACTGCCAGTGCCAGTAAACTTGCTATCATCGCCATTTAGCACAACACAGCTAGCTAGCTACTCCACCAACTCTCGACAGATAACAGGCAGCTGCTTCAATAAAAAACGAATCCATTGTGATTTAATTATAATGTTGCTAACTACACTAGTTATCTATACTGAATGAAAATATAAAACGCAACATGTAAAGTGTTGGTCCCATGTTTCATGAGCTGAAATAAAACCAGAAATGCTCCATACACACAAAAAGGTTATTTCTCGCCAATTTTGTGCACAAATTTGTTCACATCCCTGTTAGTGAGTATTTCTCATTTGCCAAGATAATCCAACCACCTGAAAGGTGTGGCATATCAAGAAGCTGATTAAACAGCATGATCATTACACAGGTGCACCGCGTGCTTGGGACAATATAAGGTCACTCTAAAATGTGCAGTTTTGTCACACAACACAATGCCACAGATGTCTCAAGTTTTGAGGGAGCGTGCAATTGGCATGCTGACTGCAGGAATGGCCACCAGAACTGTTGCCCGAGAATTGAATGTTCATTTCTCTACCATAAGCCGCCTCCAACGTCGTTTTAGAGAATTTGGCAGTAGGTCCAATCGGCCTCACAACCGCAGACCACATGTAACCATGCCAGCCCAGGACCTCTACATCCGGCTTCTTTACCTGCGGGATCGTCTGAGACCAGCAACCCAGACAGCTGATGAAACTGAGTATTTCTGTCTGTAATAAAGCCCTTTTGTGGGGGAAAAAGTAATTCTGATTGGCTGGGCCTGGCTCCCCAGTGGGTGGGCCTATGCCCTCCCAGGCCCACCCATGGCTACGCCCCTGCCCAGTCATGTGAAATCCATAGATTAGGGCCTAATGAGATTACTTCAATTGACTGATTTCCTTATATGAACTGTAACTCAGCCAAGAAATACAAGGACGAAGTCTCACTTCTGCAGACTTTCATTTCAAGTAAATTAGTAACATAAGAGCAGCTTGCTAGTTAGCTTACATTAGCTCCAGGATGCACAAGCCAAACAAGCTACTGCCACCTTGTGGCCTGGAGTATTTAAATGAAGCAAATCGGAGGCAACACTGTTCTGTGTGAACAACAAAAAGGTAACTGCCAACACTCTGGGCACTCGGTGTGTCTGACCCTTAAAAGGGAGAGTAAAACAAAGTTAAGTAAAATATAGAGTAAGTTGGAGAAATGTACAGGAGTTAAAGATAGAACGAGAGCCAGATATAGGGAAAGTTAGGAGATTAAGAATGAAATATCGTATCTAGAAAGAGTCAACTTAACTACAGTGAAAGCCATTTTTCAACTACTAAGCAGCTAAGCTTGGTCATATTCATAACACACCAAACAGACTGAAAACAGAAAAAAACAATATAAGACAACCTAAACTTGTCCAATAAGCCATGCTCATTCTCGCTTATCGTCGCAAAACGTTTTGGTACAGTGTGTCCTGATGAATACTACCCTGTTGGGGAGGTTCCAGCATGAATCTGCTTTACTTGTAACCAACTCAAAGGTGAAATCTCCTAGGCCTGTTCTGTACGCTAGATGGCGCCACAGCCCAAAACATCCTCACGAGCCAAGGGAAGTCTTGGTGAACGATGACCATTCAGGATATGGAATGTCAGCGGCCATGATACCTAGCGTATTATACAACTCCCCCGTTGCCCTTTAGCAGAGGTTTCGGTGGGAGGGGAGGAGAGAACAACCTTGTCTTTTTACCCAACAACTAACAGGCCTGGTGCACGTAGCCCTGCCGAACGATCTCAAAATGTCAAAAGGCTCCATGTCAAAACAAGAAAATATTACATCCAGGCTGGGGATTTTTCTAAATGTCGCCCATGTTGGCTTTTCTGTTTCTCATTGTTTTCATGTGAGGTGAAATCCCCCCACCCTGCATGCCTTCCCCTGAGTCAGGTTGAGTTTCTTAGAAGGGAGATGCATGGGGGAGGGGAAAGAGCCTGATCCAGCTACATTCCATAGAAGCTCAGTCATCTGGCTCACCTACAGTGTAGTAGGAGCACTGGGTTCAGATTGTTTTCCCTGTGCAGTCTGGAGCCATTTCCTCATACAGCGCTCAGCAGAGCAGTTGGCTCCTGTTCCAATTCTTGTCTGATTTAGCCTCAGCCACGCTAAAGCCACCCTTGGGGTCATCACTGATCAGTTACAGGCTCTGTCCCAAATGGTACCCTATTCCCTATATATTTGGATCAAAGTTAGTGCACTATGTATGGAATAGGGTGTCATTTGGGACACAGACACTAGGTGATGGGGTGGTTGCGTGCAAGGCCTGACAGACAGGGGGAGGAGGGTTCAGATCCTAATGGTCTCTCACGCTACCTTCTGCCCCATAGAGAGAAAGGCGTCCGGTAGTCTAGGCTTGGGCGGTATACCGGGGTATTTGGAAATAACCACGGGATGGGTTTTCAATACCATTGAAACTATTTTTTGACGTTTTTAAATAAATGTCAATATTTGTAGCTAATTAAGTAAATACCTGCTGTCAACTTAGAAGATAAAGAAGATCTCATTCTTAATTTCACCAGAAATATAATGTTTCATTATGAAGCTTACCGGTACTCCCAAGTCACGCTAATTTCACCAGAAATATAATGTTTAATTATGAAGCTTACCGGTACTCCCTAGTCCCGTGGTGTTTGTTTACAAGCACACAACGACGAGAGACCGGAGCTTTGTGAGTCACTCACTGTTGTGCAGCACGCGCCAGGTGATCTAGTTACAGTATGGAATTCACAACTAAATGTTTGTCAGCTAGATATCTTTTCACTATTAAGTTAACAGTCTAAAATGTGCTGAATGCTCAGCAGTTGTGCATTAGGTTTGCTAATTTATTAACTAGTTAGCTATCTAGCTAAGTGATTATCTTCCTAAATCAAGCTTCGCTTGGTAACAGCAGAGAATCACCTCCTTTATCAAGAGCCTTGCTGTCTAATATTTGTTTTGTGCGTGCAGCAAACTGAGTAGCATTTTTTAGTTACTTGTACAACTTTATGAGCTGGGATGTTTGTCCTGAAAATAATTTAGCTCAGACACTGTATAAAATGTTCGCAATGCACTCGTTAGCATTTAGTTAGCGTTCTCTATGGGATTTTACATGTAATTGTTAGCATTGCGAAACTTTGGATTACAAAGGCTCAGTGGGGTTTGAAAATAGCGCCCCGTGTTCAGTACCGGTATTACCGAATATCCCTGTATGGCACAAGGTCGGAATGAAAGTATGAAAATCTGGATACCGCCCAAGCCTAATTCTGCCTCTGGTGGGACCCAGCTTCCTGGTCTAGGTTGGAGGGCCTTTACTGTGACCTACACTTCCCACAGTTTCCAGCTCTCCTGGTCACTTCCTGATTCTAAATTTTTTACATTTACATTTGTCATTTAACAGACGCTCTTATCCAGAGCGACTTACAGGAGCAATTAGGGTTAAGTGCCTTGCTCAAGGGCACATCGACAGATTTTTCACCTAGTCGGCTCGGGGATTAGAACCAGCGACCTTTCGGTTACTGGCACAACGCTCTTAACCACTAAGCTACCTGCCGCCCCTCACAGTGGAAAAAGCAAAAGCCCAAAAAAGCGTGTCTAGCTAGTTTAGAAACGTTTAGAACTGCTGCACATGGTTAGTTGGGTTGTGTGAAGAGAGGAGATACCCCCAAACACCCTAGCATCCCTGTCCTCAACCCCCCCCCCCCCCCCTCCCCTCTGTGGTACTCACTCTGATCCAGCAGCCATATCTGAGTAGGACGTTTCTGGTGTGGTGACTCCCAGCGCGATTACTATGCTCATGACGTCCAGCACAGCGGCGCACAGGGAGGGGGGGGGAACGGTGGGAGGGAGGAGGAGGGGGGCGGGGAGGGGGAGGGGTGGGATGGGATGGGATAGGAAAGGGGGAAGGAGTAGGAGAGAGGGGGGGGATCACGGGGTCTGAACTGCAGTGACAGACCACTCTAGGGGTGGGGCGCCGCAGAGCCGCAGCCGACGGCTCACGGACATGGGGAGACCTGGGGAGAGAGCGAGAGGACAGGTTAGGAGTGAGACACAAATACACACCTAAACACGCACGCACCAAACACGCACCAAACACGCACACAAGGAATCAAGTGAAGAGTCCGCAAAGACACTTCTGACCCCATGAACTTGAGGGAGTAGGGTATAGCCTAAAATACAGGTACAACCATAGAAATATAATCTATACTCTATAGATTATATTTCTATGGGTAGAACACCATTATACGGACAAGCATAAAGCTTGGTCTCCCGCGGCTGTTGACACACGATTGGACTATTTCATTTGGATTCTCAATGAACTATCGTGAGTCATACCATTTTAGAGGTCATTCGAAATGCTGGGCCTTGTAAATCGATACAAGCCTAAAAGAAGTGCTACAGAAGTTTTGTCGTCACATACACCGGATAGGTGCAGTGAAATTTACAGGGTGAGCCATAGAATACGGCGCCCCTGGAGCAAATGAGGTTTAGGTGCCTTGCTCAAGGGCACGTCGACAGATCTTTCACCTTGTCAGCTCAGGTATTCGAACAAGCGACCTTTCGGTTACTGGCCCAGCAGCAATACTCTGTCTTACATAACAAAGCCAAATGCAAAACAGGTGGCAAACTACTGCAGCCCCATGTTCGGTAAGTGTGTGTGAACAATGATCTTGATTGAGTTTCAATACCATGGCAAGTTATATAATAGGCCTAATGGTAATAGGTGCGATTCCACACCACCTTGGACAGGGAATATTTTTGGTATCTCAGATTGTTCTGTCAATTTTCACATAGAAACTTCATTGGGAGGAAGGATGTTTTATATCAATATGTTGTGTCAAATGGACAATGCACCAATCCTCTCCAACCTGACATGGTATAATTTCATACAGAATCATTTCTTTATTTATAGACTAATCAACGCTGATCAGGGCCGGTTCTGGCCAATATGCCGCCCAAGGAGAGACAAAAAAAAAGTGCCACCCTCCTATCCCCGCAAAGTAGAATAGTAGCCTAGGCTATATACAGTTTTGGTCCACAATGCACTTTTACGAATGCCCATGTGGTAGCCTACCGTTTGTAATTGGCTAGATACATTTATGTGAATGCATGTATTAATTACAGTCATTTACCGTTCTCGGGGTGGAAACGTTGTTTGCAGAGTTCACAACCTGCTACACTTGTGAGAAACGAGTTTGTGTTCATTTCATACTGTCATTTATGTGCTCCATGTGAACATCTGTCTGGTTTCTCTGTCCTGTTAATGTTGACAGACCGTGCGCCTGAGCATGCATAGAAGTACCTGGCCTGCTTCTCGCAAATGTCAAATGTAGGAAAGTGCCCATTTGGGGATGTCTGATTGTCTTAACTCACCACCACTAATACGCTGGGCTTCTCAGTCATTTTCTCTTCACCTAACAAAGTAAATCAACTAAGTATTTTTTTTACATCCATTCAAATTATAATACTTCCTCACAGTATTTGAAAAATCTTTCCAACACTCCCCCTCGATAATCAGCGTTGCTGATAAATAGGCTTTGGGCATATTGTGTGTATTTGTTTCTATTTTAATGATAGTCATTTTCATCTTCATACTATAGCACAGCTGTCCCCTTCATACTATAGCACAGCTGTCCCCTTCATACTATAGCACAGCTGTCCCCTTCATACTATAGCACAGCTGTCCCCTTCATACTATAGCACAGCTGTCCCCTTCATACTATAGCACAGCTGTCCCCTTCATACTATAGCACAGCTGTCCCCTTCATACTATTGCACAGCTGTCCCCTTCATACTATAGCACAGCTGTCCCCTTCATACTATAGCACAGCTGTCCCCTTCATACTATAGCACAGCTGTCCCCTTCATACTATAGCACAGCTGTCCCCTTCATACTATAGCACAGCTGTCCCCTTCATACTTTCCTTGTCAATTCATTATTTATAGCCTACTTTCGGAAAGCCTACCGTAGGCCTAGGTTTTTTAATACGTTTTAAGGAAAGGATAAATATTTGCTTGTATCTGATGTATGCTGGTGGCTTTGATTGACGGGTGCTTTTACGGGGGTGTGCGTGTGTGAGTTCGCTGATTCTCTCTATAGGCATATACAGTGGGGGAAAAAAGTATTTAGTCAGCCACCAATTGTGCATGTTCTCCCACTTAAAAAGATGAGAGGCCTGTAATTTTCATCATAGGTACACGTCAACTATGACAGACAAAATGAGAAAAAAATTATCCTGAAAATCACATTGTAGGATTTTTAATGAATTTATTTGCAAATTATGGTGGAAAATAAGTATTTGGTCAATAACAAAAGTTTCTCAATACTTTGTTATATACCCTTTGTTGGCAATGACACAGGTCAAACGTTTTCTGTAAGTCTTCACAAGGTTTTCACACACTGTTGCTGGTATTTTGGCCCATTCCTCCATGCAGATCTCCTCTAGAGCAGTGATGTTTTGGGGCTGTCGCTGGGCAACACGGACTTTCAACTCCCTCCAAAGATTTTCTATGGGGTTGAGATCTGGAGACTGGCTAGGCCACTCCAGGACCTTGAAATGCTTCTTACGAAGCCACTCCTTCGTTGCCCGGGCGGTGTGTTTGGGATCATTGTCATGCTGAAAGACCCAGCCACGTTTCATCTTCAATGCCCTTGCTGATGGAAGGAGGTTTTCACTCAAAATCTCACGATACATGGCCCCATTCATTCTTTCCTTTACACGGATCAGTCGTCCTGGTCCCTTTGCAGAAAAACAGCCCCAAAGCATGATGTTTCCATCCCCATGCTTCACAGTAGGTATGGTGTTCTTTGGATGCAACTCAGCATTCTTTGTCCTCCAAACACGACGAGTTGAGTTTTTACCAAAAAGTTCTATTTTGGTTTCATCTGACCATATGACATTCTCCCAATCCTCTTCTGGATCATCCAAATGCACTCTAGCAAACTTCAGACGGGCCTGGACATGTACTGGCTTAAGCAGGGGGACACGTCTCGCACTGCAGGATTTGAGTTCCTGGCGGCGTAGTGTGTTACTGATGGTAGGCTTTGTTACTTTGGTCCCAGCTCTCTGCAGGTCATTCACTAGGTCCCCCCGTGTGGTTCTGGGATTTTTGCTCACCGTTCTTGTGATCATTTTGACCCCACGGGGTGAGATCTTGCGTGGAGCCCCAGATCGAGGGAGATTATCAGTGGTCTTGTATGTCTTCCATTTCCTAATAATTGCTCCCACAGTTGATTTCTTCAAACCAAGCTGCTTACCTATTGCAGATTCAGTCTTCCCAGCCTGGTGCAGGTCTACAATTTTGTTTCTGGTTTCCTTTGACAGCTCTTTGGTCTTGGCCATAGTGGAGTTTGGAGTGTGACTGTTTGAGGTTGTGGACAGGTGTCTTTTATACTGATAACAAGTTCAAACAGGTGCCATTAATACAGGTAACGAGTGGAGGACAGAGGAGCCTCTTAAAGAAGAAGTTACAGGTCTGTGAGAGCCAGAAATCTTGCTTGTTTGTAGGTGACCAAATACTTATTTTCCACCATAATTTGCAAATAAATTCATTAAAAATCCTACAATGTGATTTTCTGGATTTGATTTCCTCAATTTGTCTGTCATAGTTGACGTGTACCTATGATGAAAATTACAGGCCTCTCTCATCTTTTTAAGTGGGAGAACTTGCACAATTGGTGGCTGACTAAATACTTTTTTCCCCCACTGTATGTCCATTCAGAACGTTTCCTAAAGTAGCCTGTCTGGACTCAATCTCTTTAAATCATGACAGGAGCGTTTGATTCTTATTCATCTCATTACGGCATCCTCTCTTTGAAGAACATATGCCACTGCCATCGAATGACCGCAGCAGCAGGGTGTGTGACGTAATGCGAATATTTCTGGAAAAGTGGGAGAAAACCCACCGGACTTCGTTTGAATGGTTTTGAGCTTCGAAATAGGATCTGAATTAAAAACAATTATATGCAGAACAGCCAATAGAAAAGGACAAGGTAGGTATATCTTTATTTTGACTCTGTTAATATTGTCAATACGAAAATGCAACAGATCCTCTCCAACCTGGCATTTCTTAATTTGTTAATTAATATTTATAAGTAATAACCTGAATGATAATAATGAAATGCCATGATAATAAGTGTAATGGCTTAATTCAAATAGGTTTTTATTAAGAAGCATATCCATGAAAACAAGTGTACAAACAGAATTGTGACCTCCCCTTCTTTGACCTCCACCCTGCCTGGTTATGTCGGTGACCTTGTACATTGGCTTGGCCAATTGCCATAAGCTCAAATTCCAAGACTGTCACATCCCTAGCACCATCAACACAGTGAATGGGAAAATGGATTCAAAGGAAACTCCCTCTGCTGGAGATTTGCTGAATGTGCAATATTAAATGAGGGCTATGAATGTTTAATGACCTATAATATCAATTTCTATGTATAAAATGGGTCATATTTTAGAAAGTACAAGAGAGCCCACCCTTTAAATTTGATGTACTTGTAGAGTATATTGTTTTAAAGGTAGGAAGCATGAGCTTTTACTCACCAATGTAACAACTAGGGCTGCCCCGACAAAACAAATATTTGTCGACCAAGAGTCTGTTCTTTCGACCAATCGAAATTTTAAAACGTGTATTTTTCCATATATAGACACATCCTATATGTTTTAATCAATTATACTATATGCACAGAGCTTGTCTGATGCTTTAAGCAAACTGTTTGATGAAATAATTAAGACACAAATGACTAGAGGGAGGCTGGGCCTGGCTCCGACTTGCTGAGCTATGTAAAAAAAAAAAAAAAAAAACAGCGAGTGACTGTGACTAGCACCCGCTGTCTCTCTCTCTCCTCCCTGCTGCAGCGACCACCACAGAACATCAACAGTGTGTATCACGCTGTCCGTGTTGCTGAAGCTGCCACATAATTAAGACATTTCTGACTGAAAAGTTGTTACCAAAATCCCTCATTTGTTCAGGAAAAACATTTCCTATTCCCTTGCTCTCTATACGTGACACGTGTACAGTGCATTTGGAAAGTATTCAGATTTTTTTCCTCATTTTGTTACATTACAGCCTTATTCTAAAATGTATTACATTGTTTTCCCCCCCCTCATCAATCTACACACACTACACCATAATGACAAAGCAAAAGTTTCTATATTTTTTTGCCAAATTTATAATAACAAAAACTGAAATATTATATTTACATAAGTATTCAGACACTTTACTCAGTACATTGTTGAAGCACCTTCGGCAGCGATTACAGCCTCGAGTCTTCTTGGGTATGACGCTACAAGCTTGGCACACCTGTATTTGGGGAGTTTCTCCCATTTTTCTCTGCAGATCTTCTCAAGCGCTGTCAGGTTGGATGGGAAGCGTCTCTCCAGAGATGTTCGATCGGGTTCAAGTCAGAGCTCTGTCTGGGCCACTCAAGGACATTCAGAGACTTGTCCCGAAGCCACTCCTGCGTTGTCTTGGCTGTGTGCTTAGGGTTGTTGTCCTGTTGGAAGGTGAACCTTCACCCCAGTCTAAGGTCCTGAGTAGGTTTTCATCAAGTACTCTGCTCCGTTCATCTTTCCCTTGATCCTGAAAAACATCCCCACAGCATGATGCTGCCACCACCATGCTTCACCGTAGGGATGGTGCCAGGTTTCCTCCAGACTTGACGCTTGGCATTCAGGACATTGAGTTCAATCTTGGTTTCATCAGACCACAGAATCTTGTTTCTCATGGTCTGAGAGTCTTTAGGTGCCTTTTGGCAAACTCCAAACGGGCTGTCATGTGCCTTTTACTAAGGAGTGGCTTCCGTCTGGCCACTCTATGATAAAGGCCTGATTGGTGGAGTGCTGCAGAGATTGTTGTCCTTCTAGAAGGTTCTCCCATCTCCACAGAGGAACTCTGGAGCTCTGTCAGAGTGACCATCGGGTTCTTGGTCACCAACCTGATCAAGGCCCTTCTCCCCCGATTGCTCTAAAAGGCCCGGGCGGCCAGCTGTAGGAAGAGTCTTGGTGGTTCCAAACTTCTTCCATTTAAGAATGATGGAGGCCACTGTGTTCTTGGGGACCTTCAATGCTGCAGACATTATATGCTACCCTTCCCCAGATCTGTGCCTCGACACAATCCTGTCAAGGAGCTCTATGGACAATTCCTTCGACCTCATGGCTTGGTTTTTGCTCTGACATGCACTGTCAAATGTGGGAGGTGTGTGCCTTTCCAAATCATGTCCAATCAATTGAATTTACCACAGGTGGACTCCAACCAAGTTGTAGAAACATCTCAAGGATGATCAATGGAAACAGGATGCACCTGAGCTCAATTTCGAGTCTCATAGCAAAGGGTCTGAATACTTATGTAAATAAGGTATTTCTGTTTTTTATTTTTTGCAAACATTTCTAAAAACCTGTTTTCGCATGGGTCATTATTGGGTATTGTGTGTAGATTGATGAGTATTTTTTTTTTATTAATCAATTTTTGAATAAAGTTGTAACGTAACAAAATGTGGAAAAGGGGAAGGGGCCTGAAAACTTTCATAATGCACTGTATGCAATGCATGCACGTGACCAATAGGGCCTGACCAAGCGCATATCATGATCACATCAATAAATTGGTTATAAACTCCTAACACCGTAACACGTGACAGCAAAATGGATGCAGAGGACGTGAAAAATAAACTCGAAACTCAGAATGTTTACTGGTTGCTAAGAAGGTAAAGGGGAAGTCAGATGCGTGGAATACATTTGACAAGTTGTGGAAAATACTGGAGATAAAGTTATACATTTTACAACATATTAAGTGTGTGCCCTCAGGCATCTACTCTACTACCACATATCTATAACACAAAATCCATGTGTATGTGTGTATAGTGCGTATGTTATCATGTGTTTGTATGCATGCATCTATGTTTGTGTTGCTTCACAGTCCCCGCTGTTCCATAAAGTGTATTTTTATCTGTTTCATAAATCTAATTTTACTGCTGGCATGAGTTACTTGATGTGGAATAAATATATGCATGTCAATCATTTCAGTCGCTGTGGTAGCTGACGGGTATAGTGTTGAGTCATCCGCTTACATAGACACACTGGCTTTACTCAAAGCCAGTGGCATGTCATTAGTAAAGATTGAAAAAAGTAACGGGCCTAGATAGCTGCCCTGGGGAATTCCTGATTACACCTGGATTTTGTTGTAGAGGCTTCCATTAAAGAACACCCTCTGTCCTGTTAGACAGGTAACTCTTTATCCACAATATAACAGGGGGTGTAAAGCCATAAAACATACGTTTTTCCAGCAACAGACTATGATCAATAATGTCAAAAGCCGCACTGAAGTCTAACAAAACAGTATGTTTTGTTAGACTTCCCCCAATCTTTGTATCATCAATTTCTCTCAGCCAATCAGTCATTTGTGTAAGTGCTGTGCTTGTTGAATGCCCTTCCCTATAAGCATGCTGAAAGTCTGTTGTCAATTTGTTTACTGAAAAATAGCATTGTATCTGGTCAAACACCATTCTTTCAAAAAGTTTACTAAGGGTTGTTGACAGGCTGATTGGTTGGCTATTTGAGCCAGTTAAGGGGGCTTTACTATTCTTAGGTAGGGCACACACTTTCTAGTAGGCTTAAATTGAAGATATGGCAAAAAAGAGTGGCAATATCGTCCGCTATTATCATCAGTAATTTTCCATCCAAGTTGTCAGACCCCGGTGGCTTGTCATTGTTGATAGACAACAATACTTTTTTCACCTCTTCCACACTTACTTTACGGAATAAAAAATTACAAAGCTTGTCTTTCATAATTTGGTCAGATATATTTGGATGTGTAGTATCAGCGTTTGTTGCTGGCATGTCATGTCTAAGTTTGCTGATCTTGCCAATGAAAAAATCATTTAAATAGTTGGCAATATCAGTGGGTTTTGTGATGAATGTGCCATCTGATTCAATGAATGATGGAGCGGAGTTTGCCTTTTTGCCAAAAATGTCATTTAAGGTGCTCAAAAGCTTTTTACTAGCATTCTTGATGTCATTTATCTTTGTTTCATAGTGTAGTTTCTTTTTATTCAGTTTAGTCATATGATTTCTCAATTTGAAGTACGTTTGCCAATCGGTTATACAGCCAGACCTATTTGCCATCTATTTTGCCTCATCCATCTCAATCATACAATTTTTCAATTTCTCATCAATCCACTGGGATTTAACAGTTTTTACAGTCATTTTCTTAATGGGTGCATGCTTATTAGTAACTGGGATAAGCAATTTCATAAATGTGTCAAGTGCAGCATCTTGTTGCTCATCATTACACACCACGGACCAACAAATATTCTTCACATCAACAACATGGGAATCACTACAAAACGTATTGTATGACCTCTTATACACAATATTAGGCCCAGCCTTTGGAACTTTGGTTTTCCTAGATAAGGCTCCTATATTGTGATCACTACATCCAATGAATTTGGATACTGATTTCAAACAAATTTCTGCAGCATTAGAAAATATATGATTAATACATGTTGATGATTTCATTCCTGTACTGTTTGTAACTACCCTGGTAGATTGATTGATAAGCTGAACCAGGATGCAGGCACTAGTTACAGTTTGAAGCTCTCTCTTGAGTGGGCAGCCTGATGAAAGCCAGTCAATATTTAAAATCACCCAGAAAATATACCTCTATTGATATCACATACATTATCAAGCATGTCACACGTTATCCAGATACTGACTGTTCGCACTTGGTCTATAGCAGCTGCCCACCAGAATGGGCTTTAGGTGAGGCAGATTAACCTGTAGCCATATTACCTCAACAGTATTTAACATGAGATCCTCTCTAAGCTTTACAGGAATGTGGTTCTGAATACAAAAAACAGCCACACCTCCACCTTTGGCATTTCTGTATTTTCTGTAGATCTTATAACCATTTATTGCTACCACTGTTTCAAAGGTATTATCTAAGTGAATTTCGGAGACTGTCAGAATATGAATGTCATCTTACTAATTTTTATTAGTGCATGGTTCATAATGTTTTGTATCCTCAGTGCAGGGTTCAGGAAGGTGTTAATGTTTGGTATACTCAGTGTATATACAGGCAGTTTGTGGGACTGGTAACAGATAAAGACTGACTCTGATGCTTTGAAATGGAGTTCTTGAGGAGAAACAACCACACACGATGTGTACATCTTGACAGCCAAGGACGACAAGGCTTGGGTGGCTGCAGGTCAAGTTGTCCAGTCCCTGTGTCCTTTTGTGGACAACAGGGGGAGGAGATACCATTTCATAGAGCCTGTGCTGGCAGACTAAAGGGTGTGAAATGATACAAAGCTGAGCTTATAAAAAAACACTGACGTTTTTGTATGTTTATTCCGTTACTCAGTAGGTGATTTATTTAAAAAATATGAAATGTTATTATCAAACATCTGTCATTAACGATCTAGAATGAAATTACTAAAACTTTGTACATTTGAAATGGACTGCAGTGTCATCATTTGCTGTCTGTCTTTTGGGACCCTGTCACATTCATAATGCAGAATGTCACATCCATAACATTTTCCTCTAGGGTTATTATGAATGTGCTAATATTTCTATAATTGTTGAGGTATGCAGCACTCTAATTTACAATGAAAATAGAGGTTTTCAAATAAAGAATTGTAAACGCATTTCTTAGCACATTTGTGCATGTATGGTTGTTAAGACAGGACCCAGGAGTGCACTTTGATAGCCTATGTAATAACTATTCAAGACACTGGTGATTTCTTGGTTCTTTGATGTACACTGCATTTTCAGATGACAACAAAAGTATTATGGATGAAGTTTAGTGAATACATGTTTATTATACAAACACTCATTTTACACAGCGTCACAACTATAACGAAGAATGTCACATCCATAACGGAACATTTTCCTCTCTAAAGTATATGAGACAATTGTTATATTTTCATCATTGTTGTTTTAGTGTGTAGCCAAGCCTTACTTTCAAAGTGGCTATTCATATTTTACCCTAAGACTTTGAGATTCACAGACTTTTGCCAAAGTGTCCATTCTCCCAAAAATGCATGTCCATTTCCGTCACATCCATAAAAGTTTTGCTGTTCTGTTACTTCAAAGTGGTGTTACCGTATTTTCCGCACTATAAGGCGCACCGGAGTATAAGCCGCAGCAGCTAAATTGAATGATGTGTACATATATAAGCCGCACTGGACTATAAGCCGCAGGTGTTTTAATGTTTAATTACCATATGTAAGGGTTCGTGCACAGAGGGGATTGTCGGGAAAGAGAAACTGTCTCGCTCTCGTAATGTCTGTCTGTCTTGCTCTCGTTCTGTCTCTCGTTCTGTCTCTCGTACCACTCTCGGTTCCACTTTTACTTTTGCGCGCTACCTGTCTCACTCTTTTCCGGCCTCCAGCTTTTCCTGCTGGAGCCCGCCGCTTAAAGGTGGGGGGCGCGGACCGGTCATAGAGCCCATAGAGTTAAAGTTGGTGGACTGTAACCTGTAAAATCCATAGATTTAGGTCTTCTTCTAGTGGCCGTTAGCTGTAAAAATCCATAGATTAGCCGCACCGTTATATAAACCGCAGGGTCGAAAAATGGGAAAAAAGGCGCGGCTTATAGTCCGAAAATTACGGTACTTAGAATTGTGTAATTTGTGTGTGTCTACACTTCCCCTATAGGGTTCTACAAATAAACACATTCACATTTTCATTAATGCATGATAAGTCAATTCTGTGAAACATTTAGTTTCTCATTTTGTGTGCAAATTTCACATACATAACACAGGATAGCCCTTCACAGGGTCTTGCAGGAGGCATGTATAGGTACAAATGTAAAAAGCATATCAAACATCCTTCTTCCCAATGACGTTTCTATGTGAGAATTTCCAGAACAATCTGAGACTGTTCAGGCAATAGCAATGTCATTGTCAACTAACGTCTGATAGTTAAACAGGTTCATAGCAAAAGAATGTTCCATACTCAAATCAGGAAGTGTCCATTACAAGCACCTCTCTATGGCATTTGTTCCCCCACACTCTCGCACACACACACGCATACACTCTTTCACACACGCACACGCAGGCAAACAGTTAAACATCCACACGTAACTAGTGCATGTCCTGCATAGGAGAAGGGGAAATGTCAAAGAGCCACCTATAATACCTCACATTACACAAACACTATGCTGAGTCATGCTGCTATCTATGATATGGGTTTGTGTGCAGGCCAAGTTGGCAGCCCTACTCCACCTAGATTGGCCTTGCAATAGCAATGACAGTCAGGGACGGACTGTTTGCGTCCCAAATACAGTGCACTACTTTTGACCAGAGCCCTATGGGTTACTGTCTGACTGTAAGCTCTGAATAAGAGGGTCAATTACCAACATGTAAAAGTAAAATGTAGTGCACTAAATAAGGAATAAGGTGCTATTTGTAAAAGTAAAATGTAGTGCACTAAATAAGGAATAAGGTGCTTTCCCTTCCATACAAAGGCTTCCACTGCCCAGGCCAGTGGTGCTTTCCAATGTGGAGAAAAACAAGCGCCAGATTCCCCAGTCACCACCACCACCACCACCCTGCCCCTACAGCAGGAGCTCTATCTGGGCCTCGCTCTCCCCTCACCAGGCACAGTACCAAGGACAACCAGCGGGGGCAGTGTTTGCCCAGACAGACACTACTAGGGGGTGAGTCATCCCGCATTAGGCTGGGCAGCCTGTCATGTGATCCACACACCACGACAACACAGACGCTGGAACACTAACCCACACTCCTCCTCCTCCTCCTCTCTCTCCCGATCTCATCCGCCCAGCCTAGCCACCTCGCAGGACAGTCGGGCAGCAGAGCAGACTGCGGCTGCAGAAAGAAGAAGCAGCCCTGGGAGCAAGGTCATCTTAAGGCCACCCAGACGCACTGACTGACTCTCACACAGACATGAACTTACGTGAACGCACTCAAACGTGCACATGTACGCACACAGGTCACACACACACACACACACAAGGGTGTGGCTTTTAAGGCTATCAACAAAATCTAATTCTTCTGCACTACACAGACTTTATGACCCATCCTTGTATAAAGCTCAAGTCATTGTTCTACTGCAGTGGTGGGTCCAGTAATGGGTAGCCTAGTCAAAGTACTGAGATGCATGGCATTTCTGAACTGGTCCCTTAGCTACGCTAACTTGCATGCGTTCCCAGTGCCTAGTTACCTGCATCTAGGCCACAACAATGGGTTAGCTAATGGCCTAGCTGCCTCTACTAACGTCAAGGTCGGCTAACTCTGCTGCACACAGTTTATTTCTAGCTGGACAGCGATAACTGTCTCTTGATTAGAGTGGAACTTGCTGACGGCACTCCATACACGATTGTGGAATGGTTTGGTCCTAGAAATGTTTTTGTCGAAATAAATTGTGTTGCTCTGCTACGAACTGAGATTCAAGCCTTGTGTTAGGTTTGATATGAAGGAACAATATACAAAGTGTTTAAGGTACAGATCAGCACGCCAATTTCACACTTCCCCTTTAAATCTGATGGACATTTATTAACTTTTCTTTGAGATAAAATGCTTATCTATTACAAGTAGGCTATAGTCAGAAATGCGGATGTGGATTCAGCCCATTTAGTATGTACAATCGTGAAATGTGTACTTGAGAGAAGTTGCGTAAGAGAATGCAAGAGAAATACAATCTTCAAATGTATTTGTAACTTGTGACACTGTCTTTTGTGTGTATTTGTATTTCTGTAAATTGTTATGTACACGCTGTCATTTCCCTGTTTTGCCTTCTTGCCAGCTCACCTTCGCAAAAGAGGTTTCTAACCTCAATGGTTCTTACCTGGTGAAATAAAAGGTTACATAAATCAAAGAGTTACAGAGTTAACAGAGTAACTGTGACGTATTTAAAAAAGTGGAAGAAAATCCCACAGCGCATGGCCACCGTGCCATAGAGAGACGTGCTTATTAAAAACAACTTGACTGTCAGTAGTGAGAGAAAGAAATAGCCGGTTCCCTGCGAGGCCTCAAAGGGAGTTCACGATTGGGCCTCGTTCCAAAACGACCAGACGGTGAACCGAGAGGTAAATTCCAAAAGCTCGCCCTCTTTCCCTTGTTCGCTCCCCATAGCCTTGAATACCAGGCTCAAATTACCAATGGCCTCAGTCTTTTCACTTCACTAGAACAGAGGCCATTTTGGAGAGGAGTCCGTGAGGGACACACAAAATGAACAGCACAGTGAACGCTCTCTCCCTCCCTCCCTCCCTTCTCCTCCTGCTTCCGCTCTTCCCTGCCTGTCTCTCACTGCCTCCCTCTCTTTCACTCTCCAGACACAGTTAAGCTATGCTAGATGCATTTGTACCATGTTCCTGGAGGGATAAAGTCTACATATGGTGTCACAAGAAGGGAGAGAGGAACCAGGATGTGTACACAGACACAACTACACACTTAGCTACAGCCTAGCAGGGCGGAGTAAAGGCGTCAGCATGCTTCATTTCAGCTGCCGGCTAGCCGAAGTCGGTTAGGCGAACCAAACGAGTGTGCTCGCATACTCCTTTAAAAGACCTTCGCTTGAAAAACGGGAAAAGCGGCAATAGCACTGTTTGTCCATTTTGAGACGCCGTAGCCAGTTTTCGCTTCCTCAAAATAGTTAATCTAAGATAACTCAAGAAATCTGCCATTACTTTTTACGTTTTTTGCCGAGGAGATGTTAGTCGCGCAATTCTACATCTAACTAAGATGTTTCGTGCAGCATTTCTCAATGAAAAAATGAAAACAAGTCATCTCTTGTTGAATGACAACAAAAACGTATTAAATAAAAAAGTGCCCCCGAACAGCCCCCCAAAAATGTAACATTCCCAAATGAACAAAAACGTCACAAAATGTTGTCATAACTCTTCGGAACTGTTTCGGCTAGGAAGCATGTGGACGCCTTAAGCCATTTATACCGCTCGACCAAAATAGCACTGTTTTCAGAGTATCAGTGCAGTAGTAGGGGAATTGAGAGGGTGAAAACTCCTTGGGCAATCTTCGATTTCTAAATAGTGCCACTCCCTGCCCTGTTGGCCATCGAGGAGTGTAGGTGCTGGGTTTCTGTTGCTTGCCCAATTGACAGTTATCCTACACACAGAAGTCTAAAGCACACAACAAATGATTGTCAAGTGACAAGTTCAATTTTCTGTCACCTAACAGAGATCATTTCCC